ATTGAGATGACAATCCTTGTATCTGGCCTTTGGCTCGAGATACTTAATGATGGTGGGAGAATCATTTTTAACGTATATTCCCATCTCCTTTTGAGGTCCCATCATTTGCTCTATGTGGTGGTGCTATGGGTAAATAGGTGACACACCCAAATGTCTTTAGATGAGAAACGTCTGGCTCATGACCCGTTAGCAATTGGGATGGGGAATATCTATGCTCATTAGATGGCCGAATGCGTATTAGTTCAGCAGCGTGTAAAACTGCATGTCCCCAAGCTGAGACCGGAAGCTGCGACCTCATGAGTAATGGTCGAGCAATTAGTTGAATTCGTTTAATGAGGGATTCAGCTAATCCGTTTTGTGTATGGACATGTGCCACAGGATGTTCCACACTTACCCCATGGCCATATAATAGTCATTAGATGCTTGGGAAGTGAATTCACCAGCATTATCTAAACGTATGGTCTTAAGAGGAAAATCTGGAAAATGGGCTCGCAATCTGATGATTTGGGCCAATAACCTACCAAACGCTTGGTTCCTAGAAGACAATAGGCAAACATGCGACCAGCGGGTCGATACATCGATTAAAACCATGAAGTACCGAAATGTTCCACAAGGTGGATGGATCGGACCACATATGTCTCCTTGAATTCGTTCCAGAAAATGTAAAGTCTCTTTAGACACTTTGACTGGTGAAGGTCGAGTGATAAGCTTCCCTTGTGAACAGGCTATGCACGTGTGGTGCTTAGGGAAAAACTCAGTTTTCTTTAAGGGTGTGCCCTTTAGAACTTTGAATTAATTTACGCATCATATTCGAACCGGGCTTGCCAAGCCGGTCATGCCATTAGTGAATCTCTCAGTAAACCCTTTTGTTTACTTTATTAGCCCTTATCATATTTACCTTGGCATAGTAAAGATCTATGACGCGGGTATAGTCTCTAAGACCTTCTCATGGTCTTGGGTGTTCTTAGTAATATATGGGAATCCTTTGTTCCCTTCACTCTTAGTTTCAATGTGGAAACCATTCAAACACATTTCTTTGAAACTCAACAAGCCCCTTTGAGTTGGGTGAATATGAAGCATCTAAGGATGCGTGCCCTTGGGAATATGGGCCTGCCCTTAGCCTTCACTAAATTTAGCTATACTCGCAATTTGGCTAATGAACCATGTTTTTAGATATTTTGTTTATTAAATTCTCATAGTCATCTATCTCATGGTCGAAATCTTCTTCACCATCGTGATGAACTAAATGAGCTTCTAGATTCTTTTCAAACTCTCTTGATAGAGATCAACGAGATGCTTAGGTGTCCTGCACGTCTTAGTCCAATGGTTTTCCCATTCCTTATCAGTGGCAAACAAGTTTATTTGAGTGTTGTGGTTTGGGTATACCGCGGCCTCTACCTCGATTACGACCAAAGTCGGGTCGGCGGCCTTAACCATATGAATGGTTTCCTTGATCATAATATAAATTATAATTGCCACTTCTACCACGTTCATTCCATTTACCATGACTGTGGCCATGATACTTATCTCTTTGGAAGTGGTTAGACTCTTTAGTCTCTTTAGGCTCTTCAGCCCAACGGGCTTCTGATAATGGGGTAGGACCAGGAGGTCTCATTTCACTATTTATAACTCATTGTTTTGCTCAGCAAGTAGCATATCAGAATCAATGTTCTCATCACGGTTTCTCCAAAGCCTCACTCACTCTCTACAGAGGAGTCCTCCCCAAAAATAAGAGTTTAGACTTGCATATGTGGTAAAAAACCTTTTTCACGATATTGTTGCTGAGGCAATATATTGTTTGTGTGAAAGGTCGAGAATGCTTTCTCTAGCAAGTCATTCTCAGTAACTTCCTTACCACGGAATCTCAGTATTGACACTATTTTAAATAGTGCTGAGTTATACTCATTCATGGATTTGAATTCCTGGAATCTAAGATTCTTTCGATCGAATCGGGCTTTTGGGTAATAGCACCGTTCTTTGGTGGTTATATTGATTTTTTTTTTTTGATTACTCTGTCCTGAGGTCCAGAGGATTCTTAATAGTGAGGTACTGATTTTGAGACTCTCATTGAGGTGATGGCGTATGTTAGTAATCGCCTTATATCTTTCTCTTCTGGTGACATTGTTTCCTTCCACAATAGATTCACCAAGTCTTTTTTCCTTTATGACAATCTCAGTGTCCAAAGCCCATTTCAAATAATTGTCACCAGAGGCATTGAGTGCCGTGTATTCATAATAGTTGATTTCTGATATCTATAATATATAGAGTTAAATGAGAACTCATGTAATCGGTTAGGCCAAGTCATGCGGTATTTAAGACCAAGTCATGCTTGTCTTCAGCAAGTGTTTTCTAAACAATCATGTTATATATATATGGATGAAATCAACCCTAGAAGATTGATCTAGTATGCAACAACCAAACAATCGGATCATACTAGATTAGGATATTAGGATTTCGCGGTTAAGTTTTAGGGTTTTAGCATCCGCAATTTATAGTACTAGGGTTTTTGCTAGGATTTTGGTTTTATGTATGGAACTTTCTATTTATGGAAATTTTCCTTATATGAAACTTTCCATTTATGGAAACTTTATATTTCTCATCTAGAAAGAAATCCTAAACAAACGTGTACTTTAGGGTTTTTGGAATATTTCCTTATGAAGGGGTTTCCTATTTTGGTAACTTTCCATTTTGGGAAACTTGCTATTTTACGAAACTTTCTATTTCTGTAAACTTTCCTTATATGGAACTTTCTATTTCTGGAAACTTTCTATTTCTGGAAACTTTCCATTTATGGGAAGCTTGATCTTAAACCGTGACTTAGGGTTTATTAAACCGGTTTAACCTAGGATTTAGGGTTTCGGTTTACTTTCGGTTTAACCTAGGGTTTATATTAAAACATTCAATCTATCATGCCATTAAACATCTTTCCATTCACTAACTTCTCAATTAATTCTCCAAATACATATGTCTTTGTATACATGTATTTTACACTAGAGAGATTCTCAAGCTAACCACGTTATACCAAATCAACGATAGATTTACATAAAATAATATAAAGCACTAAGCATCATAATTCAAAATTATCGATTTACTAAACCTGAGTCAATCGTTCATAAATTATACGTATATCAAATACTAGATCAACTCAGTTGGAGCAAAGTTATGTGATTATTTTATGTCATCTTAAGATTAAAGCATGATGTGATAATGGTGTAAAACATAAATACTTATCTCGATTGAAAGCTTTTCCTTAGTAATCTCGACGATCGTTTGCGGAGATGGAGAACAAAACATCGCTACGGTTTTGCGAGATTTTGTTTTTACTTCACCACGAGATATTAATCATCCCTTCAAACAAAAGACCCACTTTATCAAACCAACTATAGACCAAACCAAACTCAATGATGAATGAATACCAAATAACTAAAAGCATGTTCAAGGTAAATCAGTGATAAAACATGTGTCGATCAATAATAAAATATAGTTTGGTAACAACTCACGTTTTAAACAAAGCAATTAATAATAAACATATGTCGATCAATGGTGAAGTATGATGGAATCTAGCTTTTAAAATATCATGATGGAGTAGATATCACGGTTATGTACTTGAGAAAAATTAAAGTATTATAATGAGATCTGAGCATAACATGATAAAGCATTCTTAACCAAACAAATAGAATCAAACAAAAAAAAAAACATGATGGCGATGAGATCGTGAAGCCATATAAATAGGCTGGACAATAAATTTTGATTTAAGTAAATGAGACCAAAGCGATATAAATCATGAGCAGAACCATAATTAAATACGAGGCCACTTATCTTTTAGAATAAAACTTAGGCTCGTAGGGATCGGAGATCAAAAGTGGAGATGGAGACAAGATGATGAAAAACTGAGACATCATCGATTAGGGTTTCGATAGAATTTTTTTTTTTTTCTTAATTCAGACGGCTAGGGTTTTGGTTTTTGTGAGAGATTTAGGATTTTGAGATTTTTAGCTTTTAGGGTGAGAGGCTATCGTGCTGATAACGTGTTGTGAATTGTGTCTTTCATTAATAGAATAAAGAATATATATACAAGGATAATAGCAAGATACAGAGAATAAAGTAAAACCCTAATGGGCCATGGACCGGTTATGGAGTCCATCCATATGGTTTATAACACTTTATACATTTACAGAGAACTAATATTTTTACTTAAAATATGTAGACGCATAGTAGAGACGATCTTAGACCCACGCTTTGCCGCAGAGCCGTGCAACCACTTTCTTACGCGTCAAATGAAAGAACCTGCTCGTTTTGTAGATAGTAATTTTGTCTCTTTACGTTTATTTTTTGTATTCGACTATCTTCATTTCTATCGTTTTTTCTTCATTACTACAATACTACTTATGTAACGAAGTTATCAGCTATTGTAAGATACATATGCTATATAACTATAAATGCTGCACTTTTATCAGCAAAAATTATAGTATATACTAGGAGTAATAAAAGTGTAGATTTTATCAGCAAAAATTATAGTATATACTAGGAGTAATAATAGTGTAGATTGACACGAATATTGAATATCCTGTAATTATATGGAAAGATATAATGTTATATCACATAAATGCATAGTAAATGGAATTGAGATGTCGAAATCAATGAGAATGTGGGTACCTTTACATTTTACTTTCTGAAAATTCGTCACAATCTTTAATCTCACATTTTTTTTAAATTACTACTAATGTAGTGAAAATATCAACAGAAATCACTCCCCATAAATTGAGTTTTAAAACACGCGCTCTAACTATCTCACGCGCCTTGTATAGTTACATTTCAGACCACCGCAAAGCTAGTGAGACCGAGACGTAAGCTATAGCAGCGATTAATCTCATGGTAATTAAAGTACAAAATCATTTATTATTCTTCTTACAATACTTTTTATTTTTCGTTCTTACACGTAGAGAAGAAAAAATGGAGAAAAAGTAAAAAAAAAAAACCGCGGCTGCCCTATACCAAAACCCGGGAGATTCTACGTTTTCTTATGCTTAATTGATCTACCCATCGAAAGAGATCGAAACACATTTTTTGATCCCTGGGCGGAGGAATTCGGAAAAACTCAATTCTGCTTTCATTCGATCGGATGGTTTCCTTCAATTGAATTCGTCGATACGATACGATACGATACTCACGTTTATTCAATTGCAAATTCCCACTTTCTGTGTTGTCTCCGCTGATCCGATTTCTAATTTGATCGAGCTAGGGCTAATCCACCAAAGGATTTCACTGTTTCGTTGATCGCTGGGGTTGTTTTTAGGAGGGTTTGTGTACCTTGATTGATTTTGAGGGTTTGTTGATTGCAATGTTACAAAGGGGCTAGGGTTAAGTCTAGGGTTTTGAGGTGAGGATTGAACATATAGTTATGGAGGAGTCTGAACTTGAAGAAGGAGAGGCTTGCTCTTACAATATTACTAACGAATACGCTGGAAGCATAGACCCTGACAACGATCTCTCTTACATTGTGAGCACCTTCTTCGCCTTCTCTTTTTCTTTTCTATCTTTTTGACAACTGGATTTTGAATTGTGCAAGTGTTAATGTTGCTCTGTTGTCTTACTTTAGTCTCTTTGACATTAGATTGCATCACTGAATTTAAGCTTTAGGGATATGTGTATGCAGTTTATATGGTATGTGTTTAAATGTTTTAGATATTTTGTTTCTTAATCTCATTATGATTTAAGTGCAACCAAACACCATGTTAATTGCGCATCGTAGATTGGTCAGGTTGTTATACTATTTGAAGGCTTATCTACCTTCCATTTGGAACTCTTTTGTTTCCGATTGCCGCGTGTTTACTTTCTATTCGATGGTTTTTTTACAGAGATTGTATGGTCAAGTTTCATCTTATCGGTTTCAGTTTTACTGAAAATGTGATTTTAAAAGGCTTTTTGGATTCACTTCTATAGTATCGAACACACAAGTTTCGTTACAGTTTTACTGGAAGAGTGTTCATAGAGATTCAGTTCTGTAATATGCTTTTGGATTTGCCTCTGTAGTATCGAAACAGAAGTTTCGTTAAATCATCCACACCAAAGAGTCTAGAATTTGTTATCAGATAAGTAATCTGTGTTTCGTTTGTCGACTGTATTTTTCTGTTGTCTATTTTGAAGGATGAGAAGCTTCAACACATCCTTGGACACTTCCAGAAAGACTTTGAGGGCGGTGTTTCAGCTGAGAATCTTGGTATGTTGATATGTGGCAGAAACTGTTCTTCTTGGTTGGCCCACAAAGTGTGAAACTAGTCCTTTGAATTTGATTACAGGGGCGAAATATGGTGGCTATGGCTCTTTCTTACCAACTTATCAACGATCTCCTGTTTGGTCTCACCCGAAGACACCAGCAAAACCTCAGAGTTCTACAGGGACTAGATCTCCCAACAACTTACTAGGGGAGGTATATATTTCTCATTGTCTGCGGTTTGCTCTTTGTAAATCCTGTAATGTTTAATCTCTTACCTTTTTTCTTCTCTCAGTCCCAGAGTGGCAATGCAGCTTCGTCTAGTGTTCCTAAAAAGGCAAAATCTGGGCTTGCTTCCTCTGGAAACCCCAAAAAATCAGTGAAATCCAAGAAACCCAGTTCCAGTGCCAGAATGGAATCTGCAACTAAGAAACCTGGTGTCTTTAGTAAACAGAATTCTCTGAAGCTTCGGATAAAGATGGTACCAGATGGTTTATCTACCGAAAAGAATGCTGCTGCGATATACAGTGGCCTTGGGCTTGATGTATCACCTTCTTTGTCCTTAGATAATAATAGTCTTTCAGGTAGTGAAGGGATGAATGGGGAGCCTCAGGGTTATTCTCCAATGGAGTCTCCCACCAGTATTCTGAATGTGAGATTTTTCTTTGTTTTGTTTCGCAATACGGAAACAGTTTCCTTTGTTTTAAGATGCTTATCGTGTTGATATATTCTTATATGCAGGTAATGACTTCACTTCCTGTGGATCATCGTCAGTTGCTATCTCCTCTCTCTGATGATCTGATTCGATTCATTACAAGGGAAAAATCCGAAAAGGGATATAAGTATACATCTCCATCCAGGCTTTTCACTGAGAGTTCTTCTGCTATGGCGAACGATTTGGAACCTCAGAAGGCTGGAGAAAAACCATCAGTAGAGAAGAAAAAAAAGATGGTGGAGAGGAGCAGCTTTTCTGCAGAGACAAATGTCCGCAGTAAGAAGGGCCTGTTTGATGCAACTGATGCCACTGTCAAGGAGTCAGTGGAAACAAACACATCATATCCTACTGCTGCGGAGAAAGAAACAGCCAGTAGTAAATTATTTGATGCATCCAAGGAAAACTACAATGGCACTGTTAGGGGAGAAATGGTGGGTGATGTCGACAGAAGGTTGTGGGGTCTAACTCGTCATAAAGATCTTGGGGCGCATCATGAGAATCCAAAGACTATTTCTGCTGGAAGTGTTCGGGAAGATAAAAAGGCTAAATTTGGTGATGATGAGGCTTCAGGACACCCAAGGAAAGTTGGCAAATACAAAGGAAGCAAAGCTTCTGATTCAGTCAAAAAAGAATCGAGTGCGTCAAAGGTGAAAAGTGGTCATAAAGTGGAGCCAGAACATCCTTTGAGAAAGCAGAAGTATGACCAGATAGAACAGGAGCCACCGTCTTCAACAAAGGTCAAGGAACAGCAAACCTCTGTTGTTTTTGAGACTAAGCTGAATGGTCAAGCTGAGAAGAAGGAAGTGGTAGTCTTGAAACCACAAAGTGATAGCAAAAAGGCCGAGGACACTTACAAAGACTTTTTTGGAGACATAGGGGACTCTGAAGAAGAAGAGGAACAGAATTGTTCGTTGGACGTAAAAGATTTGCGGATTTCAGAAAAGGGACTTCCGCCCTTAGAAGATATGCCTGACAAATCGAGCTTCCCACTGGTAGAACCTCAGAACGTTGGTCCTGAACCCATGTTGAGAAAACTTGGTTCTGATGCTTCTCTTCCGAAAGCAAATCCCGTGATCATACAAGAACATTGGGTTGCTTGTGACAAGTGTGGAAAGTGGCGGCTTCTTCCTTTTGGCGTCGTCCCAGAAGACCTTCCTGAGAAATGGATGTGCACAATGCTTAATTGGCTGTGAGTCTTTTTAACTTCTCTGTTATTGGTCCTATTATTTTGTTGGTGTGCTATCTGAGGTGGTTGGCATGACATGTGTTTGTTTCTCTGTGTTATTGGTCCTACTTTTTTCGGGATGAGAAACTAAGAGAAATTGATTCTATTTGTGATAATGTGCGTTTTAGGCCTGGAGTGAACTATTGCAATGTTCCTGAAGATGAAACAACGAAGGCACTGTATGCAATGTATCAGATCCCTGTCCCTGAGAGCCAGGCTTCAATGCAGAGTAATCCCAGTGGCCCTAAGCCTCAGTTTAACCAGGGAGATGACAACACAAAGAAGAAGAAAAAGGGTTTTAAAAAGATAGACAATGGAATGTATAAAGAAGGTTCTCGAACTGCCGAAACTAACAAGACCATCCAAACATCGTCAAGAAATGGTATTCAAAATTCGCATGGACTTGGCGACTTGGCCGAGGATGAGAGGCAAATACATAAACAGAAAGAGAAAGGAAAATCAGTGGATCACCTCTCTGATGAGTCGAAGAGCTTGAAGGCGAATAACAAAAGAAAATCAGATCTAGAGAGTTCTATGCTGGCCAAAAAAATGAAGATTGAAAGTTTTCTGTTTCCTGATGAATCCGAACATGGAAATGGACGTCCTACCTCGAGTAGTGGTGTCCCTGTCACGTCAGCAGATATAAAGCCCAAGCCTCGAGTCTCCTCCAAAATGCCAAAAGAGGAAGGAGGAGCTTCAGACACTGGAAATAGCAATAGCACAGGGGGGATTAAAAAGAGGAAACTGAGAGAAAGCCATGGTTCTAGGATTTACAGTGAGAACGAAAATCATGAACGAAAGAAAGCTCGAGTTCGTAAAGAAGAGAAGGAGCCTAGTTATTCTCAAGGCAATGGGAAGTTGGAAAAGAAAAATAGAAGTCATTCGAAAAGAGAGTATGCACATGTTCAGAACTCAATCGCGGCCACTTCGAGTTCTTCTAAGATTTCTGATTCTCATAAACCCAGAAACAGCTCCCACGAAGCTAAATGTTCGCCTGTTGAGTCGGTGTCTTCCTCACCTATGAGGCTTTCCAACATGGAGAAAAGTACATCTGCGAGAAAAAAGAAAGAAGAATCTTATGATGCTAATGTCTTTGCAGCAGGTAGTTTGAGAAAATTCTCAGATGGTGAAGGTGAAGATGTTGGTGGGAGTGATAGATCGCAGTCGCGGATGAAGGACAAACATGGATCCCATGAGTCTTCTGTGCTTGATATTTGGGATAATAAAGGATCTTTGAAAGCCAAAGAGCGCGCTGATCCTTCTCTCGATGCCAGTTTTGAGAATGGTGGCCACAAGGATTTACCGCGGAAACTGGATCATATTCTCGGTGAAGGAAAACAGTCCAGCGATCATCATCAACGTAGCAATGATTCCCTGGCAAAGAAGTCAGGAAAAGCTTCATCTTCTCGGTCCAAAGAAAAGAGCCAAAGCATTAGGTCTGATTCACGGGATGGCCCGAGACATATTGAAAAGAAGATATACGATGGTAGTCCTGACAGTAGAGCGGATATGATCGCGAGACCAAACATTCCAAAACCTTACGACTCCGAAAGAATATCAGAGAGGAGTAATAGAGCAGATTTAGCTTCTCCATCACGGCCACCATCTAGAGGTATCCAAGGGGATTCTTCTATGCTTTCTGTCCGTAAGAAAGTCGATAAATGCAGCACATCAGCTGGAAATAATAATATTCATGCTGATGATGTGACAAAGGCAACCGCCCAAATAAGAAGGAAAAGCGAGCCTTCTCCAAGCCCCTTGCGAAAGGAAGTAACATCTGCACAGGCCGCCCATAATACTTTAAAAGAAGCTAAAGACTTGAAACATACAGCTGACCGCCTCAAGGTTTTTCTCATAATTCAGTTGCAGTGTAAATGTCTATTTCTCTTTTGTATTCGCTTCTCATGGTCTTACTTTTCTTGTTACTGCAGAGTTCTGTATCAAACCTCGAGCACATTGAGCTCTACTTCCAGGCTTGCCTTAAGTTTCTTCATGGTGCTTTTCTCTTGGAGATGAGTAGCAACGAGAGTGCTAGACAAGGAGAAACAATGGTCCAATCTATGAAGATTTATAGTAGCACAGCGAATCTTTGCGGGTAATTTACATTTGTGAGGATAAAGGAAAAACGTCGTTCATTCCTTCTTTCCATTTGTAAGCATTGAAACCTTTTTTCGTGATAGATTTTGTGCCCATGAGTATGAGAAGTCTAAAGATATGGGAGCTGCTGCCCTGGCATACAAATGCATGGAGGTCGCGTATATGAGAGTGGTTAATTCCTCCTACACCAGTGCTAATAGATATCGAAATGAATTGCAGACTTCTCTGCAAATGATTCCGCCAGGTAAGCTAGTCGGAGATAGCCAAATTCTTTATTGGCCATGTCTTTAGTCTTGCCCGTTGTAATGTTCTTGTCACTGCCTTTTAGGTGAATCTCCTTCTTCATCTGCCTCGGATGTTGATAACGTGAACCACCCAGCAGCAGTAGACAGAGTTGGTACCTCAAGGGGCATCAGTTCTCCTTTAGTTGCTGGGAACCACGTCATTTCTGCGCAAAACCGTTCTAATCTTTTACGCCTGCTTCAATTTGTAAGTGTCTTAATGCCTCTTCCAAGTTCATTCCCCACAATTATACTAAAATATAAAGTTCGTTAGTTGAATGGAAGATGAAGTGATGCAGTTAACATGGAAAGTCATAAACATAGGCTAGTGTGATTAGTCTCAGCTACTCTCTACTGTTTGTAGGCTCAGGACGTAAATCTGTCAATGGATGCCTCGAGGAAATCACGTGTGGCATTAGCAGCTTGTATTGAAAACTTGGGGGAGGCCCAACAACAAGGAGAGGGTATTATATCTATTAAAAGCGCCCTTGATTATAACTTCCAAGACATTGAGGGATTGCTACGTTTAGTGAAGCTTGCAATGAAGGCCAATAACCGGTGAAAGACAAAAAAAAATGAAGCAACTTATTTGCAAAAACTGAGAAGAGGCAAAGTTCTGATAGTGAAGAGATCACTGTTGCCTTGCTGCTCTGGGTCCATTTCCATTCACAAACGGCATTTCAGGATTTTGTTTGGATCCGGTAAGCATTTGTACAAACCAAGAGGAGTTCAGTTGACAGAGTCCGCTGTGAAGAGGTTTCTGGTAGACCAAGGAAGGAACTTGGCATTTGCGATTTTCAGTTGCTTCTCTTATTCTACCAAAGGAACAATTCACAATGGCAACATCATAACAAGCTACTTTCCCAACTAATTATCCAAGAACTATGTATGGATTATACAGAGCAACCAAGATGTAACTTCTGGTACTGGATTTTCTATTTCTCGATCCCATGACAGTGAAAGATAGTTCCCCCAGTATCAGGTCAGTCATTGATACATCAATTACAATATCTTTTTGGTTCAACAAGCTCTTATTTTGTCTGTGCTAACCTACTTTGAATGTGTTTCTGCAGATTCTAAACTGTTCTCATTCAAAATAAGCCATTTAGGGTATTACAAAGAAAAGTTATAATAAGATTACAAGATCTGGAGTTATAGTAGCTTTTCCTGTAGTTGTGATAGGCTTTCTAAGTTTTAGGAGGTAAGAAAGAGTTGCATCTATTCTTTTGCAATTTTTGAAGTCTTATATTTACTCAAAACTTAACTCTGATGTCCTTTTGTTGCTCTTTCTCTTGGCAGTGTTGTCTTTTTTTGTAGATAAGAAAGTATAAGTTACAAATAGAGTTTTGCCGTCTTGCTCTGCCGGAGGAGCTTTCTAAGTTACTGGTAACTTCCCCATCTGATTTTCAGGTGCAGTTCTCTGCAAAGTTCTGAAACAGGCTTTGGCTCTTGTAGCTAAAACAATGTTTGTTTTTGACTGGAGATTCTCGACTGAGTGTATATGTATGTATGCCCCCTCCGATTTCAATGGCCTTATTGTATAAACTGTAACATTGTCCATCAAAAATGATGGATATTATCTTAATACAAAAAACATATATGAGTGAGAGAATTTTACTGTCCTCTGATCATACATACACTAGGCTGGTAATTTTCCTTCTTTTCTTCTTTGATTTCAAAACCTCCAAAATTCAGTAATATGTTTATTCAATCCAACACAAACATTGGGGCAACTGTTATCACCAAAAATCTCTGCAAGAGCAAGACCCGTCACTAAAATGGTGAAATCTATTACAATCTCTCACAACAATTTCTCTACTAAAAAGTTTCGAGATCATCTTCATCACAAGATGACAATCTCCACAGATTCTGAGGTTCTTGATGATTCTCACTGGAGTTCCAGGCCTTGTCTTCATCAAACAGAACGCAATCGCCAGTTTCTCACTGTGGTAAGACAAAGCCATCTCTTTATCTTTCTCCTCAAGATCAAGTAAAACCTCCTTAGTGTCTGAAACATATCCAGCTTCTCTCAGCCTCTGCATTATCTCCTCGAGCATAGCATAGATCCTTTCGCTCTCTTGTTGAGATTCGTCTCCTACAACAAACTCGTGAACTACTCCCTCTACTTCAACATAGCTACATCCCGGAACTTTCTTAATGCCTTTGACCTGTAGAGAGAATCTGTAATTACTTCAGAAACTGTGTAACAGATAAGCAAAAAGAGTTAGAAGAGAGGGAAATAGTTTTGTATTGCCTCCATTTCGTGTCTGATACGCTTAACTTCTATCCACCTCCCTGTTTTGGCATAGACGTTAGAGAGAAGCACATAGGCTCCACTGTTCATAGGATCTAGCTCGATGAGTCGCTTGAGGGCACCTTCACAAGTCTTGATATCCCCAAGCATTCTTGATCCGCTTAAGAGAGACCCCCAAATAAGTACATCAGGTTCCATAGGCATAGATGCTATAAAGCTCTCTGCTTCTTTGATCAAACCAGATCTTCCATAGAGATCAACCATGCAACCATAATGCTGGATTGATGGAGTGATACCGAATTCCTCAGTCATCATTTTAAAGTAAGATTTTCCTTTATTTATTAGACCTCGATGTACACAAGCACCAAGAATGCCCACGAATGTCACTGAGTTTGGGTTTATGTTGTTACTCGTGGTCATCTCAGAGAACACTTGGAAGCACTCATCTGTGAGACCGTACATTGCTAAGCAACAGATCATAGCACTGTACGCTTTGACGTCTTTCTTGGATCCCAAGGCATCGAAAACTCTTTTTGCTCTCTCGAGGCTCCCACATTTGGCGTACATATCAATGAGAGCTGTGCCTAAGACAATGTCAATCTCCACTCCGTACTTATCGATGTAAGAGTGAACCCATTTCCCTTGCTCGAGCGCACCCAATCGCCCACAAGCCGAGAGCACAGTCGACATTGTAAACTTGTTGGGGCTGACGAAAACTTCGTTTGGTTTAGGTAATTGCATCTCTCTGAACAAATCAAGCGCTTCTTTGTATTTCCCACACATAACGTACCCGTTTATCAAGCAGCTCCAGGAAATCACGTTTCTTTCAGGCATTTCGTCGAACAGTTTCCGCGCATGATTGATCAACCCGGCTTTAGCATAAGCATTGACCACCGAGTTCCACGCCGGCAAATCCTTTGAGACTGACTCGTCGAAAATACGCAGAGCTGAGCTTAAGTCGCCACAAGAAGAATACATATTGAGCAGAGAAGTCCGGACAAATGGGTCTTTGTCAAGTCCAAAAAGAAGAATCTGAGCATGAGTTCGTTGTCCAAGAGGAAGATGGATTGGATTGTGAAAAGAAGGGAGAAGAAACGGAAAAGTATGAAAATCGGGACTGACGCAATGGTGGCGCATACGGAAGTAGACTGAGATCGGAGAATGTCGTTGAGGCGGCGAAACATTGTGAACAATGGCACGAATGATGATGTTCCATACGAAAGATTCAAGCTTTAGATGTCGAATATGAAAAATCGGATTTGCGTAAGATATAATTGCCTCCTTGCTCATTGTCTCAATCTAACAAGTGTATTAGAAATCGATTTTAAATATCAAGGCGGTTATTGACAAAACCGAATTAAACCGGTATTTAAATGAAAATTGGTTTCTTGTCAATAATTTACGGACGGAGGAACCAAAGGGTTTTGTTCTAATTTTGCAGAGATGGAGGAAGAATTGCTCTCCGCCGTGCCGTGCTCCTCCCTCACCGTTGAATCAGTTATCCGCGTGGCGACGGTAATAACTTTTATTCATTTCGGGTCATATGTTTGTATAACTGCTGAGATACTAAGATTTTGTTGAAGCTCAGGCCGGTGGACTATACGGATTGTGCGCCGGACCTCGTGATGCTCGTAAAATAGGTATTGAAATTACCTCTTGATTTAGAGAGATTTTACATTACAATTATTGGTGCTTTGTTACTGATTTGCTTCGCCAGGTTTAAGCGGCGTATCTCAGGCTTCCTATGTGGTAAACCAATCTCTCTCTCTTGCTTTTCTCCGGTTGCTGAGAAATTGAGGACTCAGATTAATCTATCCTGGATTCTGACTTTTTGTAGGCGAAATCCATTGGCAGATTCGGATTTCAATGCGGTAATTTGCTTTTACATACAAATTAATCCAACACAATGACTATGGGATTTTGGGCTTAGATACTCTTCTCTGTCACTAGAAGAATGCTTTTGAAGATCATAGTGCTCTGTTTTGGTTGCCATGTGATATAATGCAGATTTCGTTTGGTTCTAAGCTTTTGAATTAGTTGATTGAGCTGCTCTTCAGTTTCACTTGGTGGTGATCCTATAACCTAGTTCTAGATTCTTGGATTAGTGGTTGCTTCTCAGTTTTAGATTTTGGTATATGCATCAATAATCCATTGTGTTTGTTTTCCTTACAGGTCTTGTAAGTGGTGTGTTTACTATGACCCATTGTGGGCTTCAACGATACCGAGGCAAGAATGATTGGGTGAATGCTTTGGTAGGAGGAGCTGTGGCTGGAGCAGCTGTTGCTATTAGCACAAGAAACTGGACTCAGGTTGTTGGCATGGCTGGCCTCGTATCTGCTTTTAGTGTTTTGGCTAATTGCACCAGGACTGAGCCCAAACAACAATAGTTAAGGTGATATTTACAACACTGAATTTTGCTAATAATGTGAGTGTGGCTCCTTACATTCCTTCTGATGCAGCCACAATCTGTTGGTTTTGTTGCTTGCAGGTCTTAGACAAGTCATTCATCAAGACACTGTGTAATTGGAAAGTGAAGATCAATACCGTGACTCTCCTCTTTTAGTTGGCTGAACCGGTGGATGGTCGTTTTTCTATGGACCACAATTTTGGTCTTGTTCTGTAATCATGTACTCGAATGACACAGAGTCCGTCGAACCCAAAACCATATTTGCATCAGTGCTGATTACTGTATTTTAATAGCCATGTTGTTTCTTAGAAAAGCCAGTTTAAACTGACTAGTAAGTATAGTGTTCACTCGTATTCAAATCCACCATTTTTATACTTCAAACAAAGTTTAAATTTATTTTGGTTTCCTGATTTGTTTTTTTTTCGAACTTTTTTTTGTCCTGAGCTTTTTGTCTGTGTGAAAATACTAAAAGCTATAAGATCATTGAATTTTTAATTCGTAGTTAAAAAAATAAAATAAAAAAGTACTAGTTGATTTGAAACAATTAAAGAAACTAAGACCCTATAAAAATCATAAATACTGTATATATGATTTTCTTGGTATTCAGAAAATAATTTACATTTTACCTACTCTCGCTTGAGAGAGGAATACGTGTCCAAAAGTGTAATTTTATCATTTGGGCATCAGTGCCCTTTATAAATAGTAGTGATAACACGAAACCCTAATTTCCAGTGCTTTGCCGCTCTTGCTCTCCGCCGTCTGTCTACCTCCAGAAATCGACGACTACAATGGTACGCCGATTTTCACCATTTTCAGCTTTCATTGCCTCCCTCTGATTTGTCTTTCGCTTTCGTTTGTTTTGGATCTGTATAAGCTCTTTGGTGAATCCTCGAATTTGTTTTTCTTCATCAATCTATTTTGGAATCTGGTCCCGGATGATTCTGGCTTTGTTTGATTTCCTAGTTTCTATAGTGAATGCATCGGTTTGTGATGTGAGTCTTGTTTGTGATGCTTATCGCCGTTTGTTTCTGCGACGTTGTTGATTCGTAGGCACCCAAGAAAGGAGTTAAAGTAGCTTCCAAGAAGAAGCCGGTATGCTCTCTTAGCACTAGCTTTGTTTATTCTTCTCCATGTATCAGTTTTCGTGGAGTTCTCATTAGATTTGTTGTGTTTTTTATTTCTAGGAGAAAGTTACCAACCCATTGTTTGAGAGACGCCCAAAGCAATTCGGTATCGGTGGTGCTTTGCCTCCTAAGAAGGATCTTTCTCGTTACATCAAATGGCCTAAGTCAATCCGTCTTCAAAGGCAGAAGCGTATCCTTAAGCAGAGGTTGAAGGTTCCTCCAGCTCTTAACCAGTTTACCAAGACTCTCGATAAGAATCTCGGTTAGTCTCTTTTTTTGTTATCTATATGTTTGTTCTCTTTGGTTTGAATGATCAGTTCCTTAATGTATACTTTGTCGTAATTGCAGCAACCAGCCTCTTCAAGATTCTTTTGAAGTATAGGCCAGAGGACAAAGCTGCAAAGAAGGATCGCCTTTTGAAGAAGGCTCAAGCTGAGGCTGAAGGAAAGCCTGCTGAATCCAAGAAGCCCATTGTTGTTAAGTATGGTCTCAACCACGTCACTTACCTCATTGAGCAGAACAAGGCGCAGCTTGTGGTCATTGCACACGATGTTGACCCTATTGAGTTGGTGGTCTGGCTACCTGCACTGTGCAGGAAAATGGAAGTCCCTTACTGCATTGTTAAGGGGAAATCTCGTCTTGGAGCGGTAATATAATTCGTTACTCCTTGGATGTAAGCCCCATTAAAGTTTCTCTTTACTTTAATGTTCACCCTAACTTATGTTTATTTCCTGCTTCTATTTCCAGGTCGTTCACCAGAAGACTGCTGCTGCCTTGTGCTTGACCACTGTCAAGAACGAGGACAAGCTTGAGTTCAGCAAAATCCTCGAGGCCATCAAGGTAATTAGTTGTATCAGCTTTTGACAATGAGATAGTAGTGAAATGATATAAAAACATATTCTCATAGACATTTCAAACCATACTCTATCTAACGTGTTTCTGTATTTTTGGGTGAGTAGGCTAACTTCAACGACAAGTACGAGGAGTACAGGAAGAAGTGGGGAGGTGGCATAATGGGATCTAAGTCTCAAGCCAAGACCAAAGCTAAGGAGAGGGTTCTTGCTAAGGAGGCTGCCCAGAGATTGAACTAAGCGATCCTTTAGTTCTCTGCTATGAAACATATGATAATGTTTTTGTTTAGCGGTATTTGAAAACCTGTTTCGTTTTTATTTTTAAGCTCTTTTGGATGTTACAACCCGCTTCAGGATTTTATGCAGTTTTGTTATACATTTCACTTATCAACTTTTATTGGTTGATCCTTATTTGCAAACAAAAACCTTATTTTATTTGTGGTTTTTCCATTGATAATCTGGCCTGATGAAAAATGTGTATACCTGAGAAATAGTGGCTAATTTAGTTGTAACTGTAATTGATTCACATGTGTCTTCATCATCATCGTTAGCTTTCCACGTAGAGATTTTCTTGTGTTTTCCCGTTTTCTTTCTAAGAGAGAGAGAGAGGATCAAACGTTTATGAAACGAACATTTTGTGATGGTATCACCAAACACTGGGACTATTACATGGAAATTCTGCAAGTTGAGCAATAAGAGATGTTTATACAATGAATTGAAAATGGATTCGAGCATAAAAGGCTTTGTATAAACTTGAATAATGGGCTTCAAATTCACACGCCCAGCATGACGTCATGTCAAAACGTTTTTCTACTTTGGGATTTTCCATTAATTTTTTTTTTAATAATTTTAGATAAAAGAAAAATAAGAAAGAGAGAGAAAAATAAGTGTCTCACTCCACAAATTAAATAAACCGCCTTGAAGTTCAATCTTGCATATTTCTCTCTCTCTCAACACGAGCATGATGAAGTTCAAGTTCGAATACGAGGAGGTCTCTGTCTCTCTTGATCTCAATCTCTCTCTCTGCCCATACTTTAGTTGCCTTTTTCTTCTTCTATGTTCCTATGATATAGATGAGGCGTGATCTTAACATGTTACTACTATACACACAGGAATACATAAAAAACTCAAGAGGCGTAGAGCTGTTCGCTTGCAGATGGGTTCCCTCTTCTTCTCCCCGAGCTCTAGTCTTCCTCTGTCATGGTAACAAGCAACTACTATATATAGAAAGAACCTTCCATCTTATTTATGTTTTTCCAAATTTATTGGCTTTTTCTGATTTACTTGATTCATAAAAATCTCCCTTAATACTAAATAAAAAAAGAATTGGTCAATGTGCAGGTTATGGAATGGAGTGCAGTAGCTTCATGAGAGGTATTTAATTTTTCCTTCTCTCCCTCTTTTAATGCTCCTCTACCATCCAATACATATAGTATAAACTATAAAATACGTGCTCTATTTGAGCCAAACATTTAATTGAAAATAATGCATATACTCCTTTGTATGGTCTGGCCAGAGAAAACTCATTAATGTTGAGTGTTTTGTTATAGCGACGTGCTTTAGATAGAGTAATTATCGAATGAGATTTTTTTTGTGGTGATCCATGATTTATGTTCTCGAGCATGATAGGTTATTTATTATTTTCCTTCAGTCTTTTCAGAAATTAGTGTATATATGTGGCATCGACCATATGTGTTCATTGAAGATCCCTTATTTCGCCATCTAATCCCGGATCTTATGTTGCTAGTTTTTGTTTCTATAGAAATAATAGCATGGTAGATATCATAATATATTGAGGATAAAAAAAATAAAGTTTTTTAATCAGAGGAGATTAGAAAGAATAGAAAAAGAATCTTATTATTGCAAAAGTTGGTGTTAGTTGCACTTTTGTCTGCTTCGTAGCTTTCGATTTAGTTGTTGTTATCTTTATTTTGGGGAAACGTTACACTATCCTTATCTTCACATTTTTCGTATTTTTCTGCTCTAATTTGTGTAAATACCGGTGAGGCCGAGTTTTTCTATTCATGGTAACAGAAAAAACTCGGTGGTAAATTCATACTAATAATTATGAGATTTAAGTTTGTTGTGGAGTTATGGTACCTCTAATGTCTAATTATCACGAATAATTTATCAACGTGATTGTGTGTACCTAACTAGAAAAGTAATCAGAAATATAAGACAAGAGTCCCCACGGATATTAATATTAGTTATGTTCCTTTTATCTTTACACAACGAGAAACTCGTGAACCGTAATCGATTGTGATCTTTGACAACTAATTCTGCTTAACCACATTGTCGATACATTGTCTCAATGAAATTCAAAATTTGTTGAATAATAAATTTGTAATGTTTTAAATAGAATGCGGAATACGGTTGGCATCAGCAGGATATGCAGTGTTTGGGATGGACTACGAGGGGCATGGTCGGTCCAAGGGTGCTCGTTGCTATATCAAAAAGTTCAGTAACATAGTAAACGACTGCTACGACTATTACACCACCATCTCTGGTACCTTTATTTGCATGAAAAATAACTATTCTGTCATCATCTTTTGTTTTTTTTAACATAAAAAGAACCTTTCAATTAGTTTTTTTCTTCTTTTCAGATTGGTTTTTTCTATTTATGTAATATAGAAATCAAATACCTCAATGTTGACACAAAATCGAGGTTTTAGACTTGTAGTCGATTTATTTTCTTTTGGTTTTGTTCTGTTGTAGGAAAAATGTCCAAATTGTTTTAGCTTTCCTTTTCTTTTTTTTTTATATAATATATCATTCAAATAGTTGAAGAAGTTTCATTGGTTCCATTTTGGATTATTAGATCTCTTGATCTTAGACTTGACTGGCCACATCCGATTTTCAATGTCCAATTTCCATGAACAAAACTAATCCCTACTTTTGTGATGTTATAGCACAAGAAGAATACAAAGAGAAAGGTAGATTTTTGTATGGAGAATCAATGGGAGGTGCAGTTGCTTTGTTGCTTCACAAGAAAGATCCTTCTTTTTGGAACGGTGCTCTTCTCGTTGCTCCCATGTGTAAGGTCACGTTTCTTCTCCTCTTTATCAACGAACCCCTACAATTAATCAAGTTAAGACATAAATCTATTAGTTTTAGATACAACTTAATTATCAACGTTTTCATTAGTTGTGTGTGTGAGCAGATATCAGAGAAGGTGAAACCACACCCAGTAGTCATAAATCTACTAACGAGAGTTGAAGATATTATACCAAAATGGAAGATCGTTCCCACAAAAGATGTTATTGATGCTGCCTTCAAGGATCCAATCAAGCGCGAAGAGGTATATTAATCGAATCACTCTCTAAAACATAATTAAAAGGTGTACTAATAAAATACTTGGTTCCTAAAATGTAGATAAGGAACAACAAGCTGATATATCAAGACAAGCCAAGACTTAAAACCGCGCTTGAAATGCTTAGAACGAGCATGGACCTTGAAGACACTCTCCACGAGATCACATTGCCCTTCTTTGTCCTTCACGGTGAAGCAGACATTGTGACTGATCCAGAGATAAGCAAAGCCTTGTTCGAGAAGGCAAGCACACGCGACAAAACCATTAAGCTTTACCCAGGCATGTGGCATGGATTAACTTCTGGTGAGCCTGATGCTAACGTTGACCTCGTTTTTGCTGACATAGTCAACTGGCTTGATGCTCGTACCGGTGACTCGGCTTCTCTGACAGTTAATCCCGTACATGATTTTACCTCCAATGTTCAAAAGGTCGTTGACGGTGTTAGTAACGGTCAAGGAAAATCTAAACGACCACAAGCTAGTCTCCTTTGTGGTTTAAATGGTGGTGGACGTCGTTTGGTCCATAGATCTTCTATGTAATAATAAACAAAACAGAGAAGAATCTGTTTATTTTGTATTTCATATTCGTTTTCCTAAATAAAACCATCATCATCGTGTCCAAACTAAAATACATAGACTTATTGTCACGAAACACAAAACAGCTACACGATCTTTCTTTACATTTTTGAAGGAAGAGTCACAATCTCTGGACTCCTATATGAATATTTAATGGGCTTTAGTCTCTTAAGGCCCTGTAATTAAATGGGCCTCAATCCAGCCCTTTTAAACCGCCATGAGTACACTTGGTTTCTCGAGTCCCTTCATCATCACGAAAGCGGGATTTAGCGTTAGCAGGTAGAAACCCTAATTTCTTCCACATCACACTTAGAGATTTGTTTAGATTTTAGTTTAGGCTGAGAGGATGTATAAGAGGGGAGCGGCGAAGCCTGAGTACGCGACAGCTAAAATAGCGGTGTGGTGGGACATGAAGTGCTGTCCGATTCCCGAGGGTTATGATGCTCGTCTGGTCCGCCCGAGCATAGAAGCGGCGTTCAATGAACTAGGCTACTCTGGTCCTGTCTCCATCACCGGCTATGGCGACCAAAGACAAACCCCTTGTCACATCCTGCGAGGTCTCTCTTCCACCGGAGTCGCTGTTGCACAAATCAAATCCGGTTAGTCCAATTGCTATCGATTATCTGAATTTAGGTTGTTTAAATTTCAACAACGTCTCAACGTCTCAACGTCAATTTCAACAGAAAGCACATGCTCACTCATGTATTCGAATATGCTGGAGTGGCGAGATCATAATCCTCCTCCGGCTACAATGATGCTCATATCCGATCAGTGGCAAGATGTCTTCTCTTGGGATCTGGCCCGTCTACAACAGCACACGAAATACAACCTTTTTCTGTCTTATTCAACTAAGTCTAACATAGGTTCGGCACTGGAACCTTGTGGAAAGTGGACCTGGACGAAGTTACTTGCGACCAAAAGGGAACTTGTTCAGGACCAAAAGTGCTGCAGTCGTGAGTTATCTGCCATGTTTTATTGCAAATCGTGCAGTTACCAAGGCCAAAGCGTGGAGGGTTTCAGGAAGCATCTCTCGACTAGAAAGCATGCAGTGAGAGTAAGTAAACATCCTCTCGACCGTTTTAATGTATAAATTGTTGAACAATAATAGTTTGATCTCTAAAATATATTCTCTCTCTCGCACCAACCTGTTTCCACTCGCTCGCAGGAGGTTACAAACCGTATACATCCAGAACTTGACTATTTGACGAGGACGTGGGCAAAGGACTACCCTGCAAAGCCTGAGTACGCGACAGCTCAAATAGCGGTGTGGTGGGACATGATGGACTGTCCAATTCCCGAGGGTTATGATGCTCGTCAGGTCCGTCCGAGTTTAGAAGCCGCGTTCAAGAAACTAGGCTACTCGGGTCCTGTCTCCATCACTGCCTATGGCGACCACAACAAAACCCCTGATTACATCCTGCGAGAGCTCTCTTCCACTGGAGTCGGTCTTGCACATTCCATTCCCGATTAGCCCATTTGGTTAATTATCCATCTCTCTGGAATTTTAATTATCCCTATTGAAATGCTTTCCTGTTACTGAAACAGAAGTCATATACAGTCGCATGTTTAGAAATTTGTCGGAGTGGAAAGATAGTAATCCTCCTCCGGCTACAATTATGCTCATATCCGATGCTGTGGAGGTGATGTTCTCAGGTGCTCTTGCCCGGTTACTACAAGAGACGAAATACAACCTTTTTCTGGCTTATTCATATAGGCCTTACAAAATGTCAGTCTTGCTCACTTCTGCAGAGTGGCTTTGGGAAAGCTTACTTCTTGCAGGTGTTTTTTTCTCCTCTCCTTATCATCATCCACTAACGTTTGAAACTAATGACGCTGTTTCTGAGCTATAGTTGGTGTTTTTTTCTTTCTTCCACTTGTTTCAGAGACAAGAAGACACGTTCTTGGCAAGTGCAGTGAAAGGGGTGAATCTACCAAAATGTTTTCTTGCTCAGTGTGTATTTGTGATTGCAAAAGCCTTGAAGATTTGAGGACGCACCTCTCAAGTGAAGACCATGCAGTGCTTGTAAGCATCCTCTGTATCATGAATACATCATTTGAGCAACAACCTGTTTAACTTTTTCCATTTGTTGTCAAGCAGGAGCGTCATTATCCTGAGGTTATTCGAATGAAGTACCGCTGTATAAAGCAGTGTCAGAAGGCAAGTTTTTCTAATGATGATTATAGATTTTCAGACATGGGATTTCTTAGTAACAGTTGATGTTTCATATATCTTGTAGACCGAAGTACTAGCAAATTTGCCAGAGAGAAAACGTATGAGGAAAGCATATCGGACGGGTTTTGGTCATCTTCATAATCAGTTACGTCTTAATAATAGTTGAGCTCGACGTACGGCTCAAATCTGTCCTGGAAGCTCTTCTTATATATACATATATTTAAATAAAAAGTAAGTTAATCCTATTATTCACTGACATAATTTTATAAGTTACAAATGGCTCAAACCCTAATGTAGCGTGCAGAGGAAAAATGGGTTATAAAGGGACCTTGTACTTTGAACAACAACCCATCAAATGAGAAGAGCTGACCACGAATCTGAGGATGAAAGAGGAAAGTCGTCATGAATAAACAATACTCAAAAGGCTATAGTATTTGCCTTTGCCACAGGGGACAATCTCAGCATTCTTTTTCCCCTGTAAAAGGCAGTCAACATTCAGTTGATTGAAAAGCTAAAATCTCTCTACTCCTATGAGTATTTGAATGGGCTATGATAATTAATAACTAAACTGTGAACTTTATTTTAATTAGTCATATACTTGTTAGGCTCAATAATTAGGTGGGCCTCATTTAGCCCTTTTCAACCACAATTAGTACTATACTCAGGAAGAGCCCAAATCTCTGTACTTCATATGTGGATATTTAATGGGCTTTAGTCTCTTAAGGCCCAATAATTAGATCAGCCCTTTTAAACCGTCATGAGTTTAGTAGTATTGATTCCTAGAGTCCATCGCTCATCATTCTTCTTCCTGTGAGATCTTTTTGGAAAACGAAAGCGGGTTTTAGCGTTAGCAGGTAAAACCCTAATTTCTTCGATCTGCGTCTCTTGATAGTTTCTTGATTCATCGTTTTCCTCCTTTTCAGCTTCCACCGTTTCGGAGAATTTTATCGAGCTTCAAGTGAACATGAGGTTTATCATCTTCGTCTTCTAATTCTTATCATTCTTCTTCTAGATCTTTTCTAAGACTTGGCTTTTTTTTTTTTTTCTCGATTTCAGTAAACCAATGGAAGAGGATACCACCGTAAGTAACTCTTTCTCGTTTTTTATTTCTCCATCTATTTGAAGCTTTTTTTTTTAATTATAATCTAAGCATAAACATAGAACCCTAAATTCGAGCTTTTTAGTGCCTGGAAGCTGGAACCAGCTCTTTATCTTTTGTTGCCTGATCCTTATTTTGGTTCTTACGGATTCTCAATTGGAAATTTGTTGATGAATAATATACCATTAGAAGGAAGTCATGTGGTTTATCTGTATCTTCTAGTAGTTGTGCTAGTGAATAGAAAACACTGTCCTGAGAATTCATCACAGATGGTCAGCTAGAGTTTTGGCTATATGAATGTTACTGGTTTTGGATGACTACTTAAGGCAATCTTGTATTGGATGCATTCTTGTTTAATACTCTCTACTTTTTTTCGAATGTAAACCTAGTTGCTCATTCTTTAGCAGGGAAAGACTGAGGAGGAGGAGTTCAACACTGGACCGCTCTCTGTTCTGATGATGAGTGTTAAGAATAACACTCAGGTGTTGATCAATTGCCGTAACAACAGGAAACTCCTTGGCCGAGTTAGGGCTTTTGACAGGCACTGCAACATGGTTCTTGAGAATGTCAGAGAAATGTGGACTGAGGTAAACTTTGCTATCTTATTTCTCTCTGTGCTTCATGTATACTAGACAAGTGCTGTTTCTTACATGGGTTCTCTGGTTTATTTAGGTACCGAAAACCGGAAAAGGAAAGAAGAAAGCTCTTCCTGTTAACAGAGATCGATTCATCAGCAAGATGTTTCTGCGGGGAGACTCTGTCATTATCGTCCTCAGGAACCCCAAGTGAGAGAAATTGAGATGGCTGCTCGTGGTTGCTCTTCATATGATAATTCTCGCTTCTTCTTGTCAAATTCTAATTGTTGCATCAACGGAGAACATGTTTTGATTATGAGCCTTAAACCTAGTAGTGAACTGCTTTGTATTTTTTTCACTTGTGTTCTTCTATCTTGACTTGAAAAATCCCAGTGTTGAGTAATGCCACTAAACTTTGTAATAGCAAAAGACAAGTTCTTTTTCTTTTAAAACTGTAGTGAGAGGTTCATGAATAGTAGTAGTAAGTAAAGGTACCAAATTCTTACTCTAATTTTACACGATTATCAAAACAGAAATCAAAAACGAAATAAATAGAAACGAAGCTCTGCTCTCTTCACACTGCAAGGTCTTGCATTTTTGCTATCAACCCACTACCAGCCGCAGTGGATGCTACTCGATTCTGCATTTGCTCAAGCTGAAGTTGTCTTGGTGGTGGTTGCAGCTGCGGAGGAGCCTTCTCTCTGGTCACCAAAGACACGTTGACGGAAATCTTTGACCATGAGAGGCAGTCCCTGACGAAGAGAGACCTTTGGTTCCCAACCTAAAAGCTCTTTGGCCTTTGTGATGTCAGGCTTTCTCTTGTGAGGGTCGTCTTCTGTGTTTGGTCTGAACTCTATGTTTGCGTTGTGATCAATCGTCTCTTGGACCACCTTCCAGCAATACACAACCAAATCAAAATATCAGAATCCAGGGTCATATGTAAGAATGGAAGTGTATATATATCTATAGAAAGAGACCTTAGCGAGCTCGAGCATTGTGAATTCACCAGGGTTACCGAGGTTAAATGGCCCGACATGTTCTCCTTCCATCAATCTCATCAAACCTTCAACCTTTTACATCACACAAACACGAAATCAGATTGATCATACAATATTAGCAGCTAAAAAATTAACCAGGACAAAGGGGCAATAAAGTTGAGACCCCATTTTTGGTCCTATGTCACATGATATTGATACCCATCTTCATAAGATTGCTAAAGTGGGGACCATTTTTGATGTCTATAACAAATTTGGGTCTCATGTTTAAAAGCTTTTGTTATTAGATCCCACGACATGCTCACCAGTTTATTCAATCACATGTGAGCTCACTAGACACAATTTTTTTTTCTTTTCTCTCAATCTTTCTACCCCAAAATATGAAAAGATATTGGAATGCATCTACACAAAAAGATATTGGAATGAATCTCAAAGAAGTAAAACCCTTTCCTTTGAGAATGTCACGCTAAAAAGTAGTCTCCACTCTAAAAGGTTGAATATAAAAGTGATTTGACATCAAACCACCTACCTTATTTGGCTTTTATTCCCTTTCCACAAGAATGTAAGACTATATCTCGAGTTGGACCAAAGAAAAAATATAATAAAGTATATGTGTTGGCAAGTTGTAGTACTATATTGAATTGCTCTTTGAGGAGGAAAATGGAAAGCCTTACCAGATCAGAAACAAATTGGAAACTCCTTGTCTGCTTCCCATCACCGTAAACAGTCAATGGTTCTTTCCTTAGTGCCTGTTCAATTATTGCCAATTTAAAACAATCATTACTCCACTAGACCCTTCTTTAATTATTTATTGTTTTGTGCCACTAGATTATGAACAAACCTGTGCAACGAAGTTGCTGACAACACGCCCATCATCTATACACATTCTTGGACCATAGGTGTTGAAGATCCTAGCAATCCTGACCTGTGACCAATCAACAATGCAGACACAAACTCAGTCATCAGTAACCTCTTGTTACTCAACTAGACAAAACATAAATTGGCTTGAAAAAGAGGCTAAATGAAAAAGAGTAGCCAACCTCAACATTGGCACCTCTGTGATAGTCCATGGTCAACGTCTCTGCCGTACGTTTTCCTTCATCGTAGCAACTACGAACACCTGTTCCATAACAAACCCAATTAGTCATCAATCAAATCACAAGAAAACATGCACGTGTCGGTATAGTTACTGTGGCAGTAAAATTTAAAAGTAAAAGCAAATCTTTTCAAGCTCTAGAATTTTGAAAGTCGGCATTGGAAATGCTAGGCCAGCAGCTAATATTGAGGCTGCGTCTAAGGTAGAGACACGTATAAGAGAGCCGCACGATCACAAAGACCCGTTATTTACGGTTCAATGGTTTGACCGCACATAGACAGGGGACCAGATCTGAAAGGAAAGCACATGAAGGGCGCACCATAAAACACCTGTTTTTCAACCCTCTCTCTCTCCTAACGTGCGCATTTTCCGACACAGAAATTGAAAGACAGAGAAGCTCTAAACGTCGTCGTGTCACGTGACGGTTGAATAAAATTTGGGAACAATAAATAAGGAAGGCTTCCTTTTTCAGATTCCGATTAGAGTACACAACGAATGAACACTTATAACTCTTCAAAATTGACAAAGAATGAATCAATTAGGAAAGAGAATTGAGGGATTACCAATTGGATTAACGTTTCCCCAGTAAGTCTCGACCTGAGGATGCTGCAGAGGATCCCCATAGACCTCACTGGTACTCGTCAGAAGAAATCTAGCACCGACTCGCTTAGCCAAACCAAGCATGTTCAGTGTTCCAACCACATTCGTCTTGTATCAATCAAAGTCAAGGAACAAACACAAACAAACAATTCCACAATTGAATCGATAAAAAAAAAACTGAAATCAAGAATGAAATTCAAAAGGATATGATAGTCTTGACGGGATTGAATTTGTAATGAACAGGAGAGGCAGGGCAAGCCAGATGATAGATCTGATCAACCTCAAGAAGAATCGGCTCAACAACATCGTGACGGATAAGTTCAAAATTAGGGTTACTGAAATGGTGCATAACGTTCTCTTTCCTTCCAGTGAAGAAATTGTCAACAACGATCACAGTGTCTCCTCTCGCCATCAAACGATCCACAAGATGCGATCCAACGAATCCAGCACCACCAGTGACAACGACTCTTAGCCCTTTGCGTTTCAATCCGAGTGGGATTTTCCCGCCTGTTGCTCCGATCCGGTTCAGGTACTCGAGGCTAGGTTTCCTCTGAGCTTGTATCGCCGGAACGTACGATTCGTCGGGTCTGATTCCGTAACCGGAGAACGGATCCGAGTAAGCGCTTGATTGGGTGGAGCGAGGGAAAATTGTGAAAACCAAAGTAGCGATTGCAATGCCAACGAGAACGAAGATAAGTCTCTGTTCACGGAGCATGTAACGCATCGGACGAGTCACCATGAACCATGGTTTGATTGGTTTCGGGTAATAAGCATCGGCGATTGGTTGATCCGCCTCGTGTCGCCGATTGATCAGCTCGTTCGCCATCTCCAAACCTCAAAATTGAATTCGAGAAAAAAAAAAACAGCTACACGATTTCTAGATCTAGAATCGAAAGAGAGAAAATCGAAATCAATCAAATTTGTTTTCTAGGAAAAAAATCACCGAGTCGAACTCGCCGGGAACTGAGTCGGACCTTGAACGAGAGAGTGAAAAGCGAATCGGTCTTTGTGGTGTATTTAACTAGTACGGAAGCGTTACAGGTCAAGGCTTGTTTTTCACTCTTATTACGAGATTACCCCTTTCCTTCAAAATCGGACCAATTAGTATTGTTGTTGTTACTTAGTCCATTATTTGCAACAACAAGAAAACACATTATTATATGGTTTTTAATACTCAATTTGTAATAATGAAATGATAGGTTCGTTAGGTATGCTAATTTCACGTAAACAAAGTCAATGCCAAACCCTAACTTAGCACTCAAAGCCAAATTTGGTGTGAGCTTTGAGTGATTTCGACGTTCTTTTTTTTTAATTATAGCATAACATAATATTTTTTATTTGTAATAATATAAAAGCATGTCCTACCAAACTAAACAGTTTTTACAAATCACATTCATAACGCTTTTGACCATCAGGGTTGGAGAAACGTGACTTGTATTAGATTCAAAAATTGCCTATGAAATTAAATGTGACTTATTCTTGTTTTATTTGGTTCTATTGTTAACTTCAAATTTTACAAAAAGTAACCAAAGATTAAAGGTAAATATCCAATTTAGTGATACTATGAGTCCATTTTTAATTTATACACTAAGCCGCCCCGGTGTTTCCCTCTCTAGACTCTAGTCTCTACCTTCACACCTCCCTCCCTCCCTCGCAAAACTACAAAATTTCTAACTTGTGATCTAAAAAAATCACACAAAACGTTGGACTCGGAGGTGAATGCAATTTTTTAAAAAAATGGAAGAGCATTGGCGTTTACGTTGACTTGTGATGCTAACCTGGCGGTTTAGCTAGCTATGTCACCCCACATCTCCTTCACTTTCTTGCCTAACTATTTTGGATTCGTGATGGCTACCAATTGAATTTATTATTAATAATTATTTTTTCCCTCTAATCAACTTCTTTGTTTTCTTATAAGTAACAATTGAATTTTGTGACCCATATAAAACTAATGGAATAAGACTAGCTAACTATAATAATGTTAGAAGGACCCTTATATGATGAAACTATATATATAAGTGACAAAATTATAGCATCTTGTTAAAAAAAAATTATATATTGGTCTTAACATTAAAACAAATATATAATTAACACGGTGATATATATTGTGTAGAAGACAATAAAAAAGTTCCAACTTCCTACTATTTGGTACCTAAACATAAGATTTGAAGAAAATTCAATTATTGTCGTAACTTTCCATTTAAAAGGAACTAAAACTAAACGGCTTATGAAAGGACTAAAACGAATGGTGGACAAAATCTTTCGAGTGTTAAACCAAGAAAAAAATATCTTTTGAGCATCTTTATTAGGTTTATCACCGACTTCTTCTCATGTTTGACTTTATGAGAGGTTCGTTACTCGTAGGTGGCTTGGGCTTGGACGGTCAAATAAAAACGACAATATTGGACTAATAACATTGGCCCAATATATGACCTTAGGCCCATAACATTTTCCCTATAAATAATTCCTTTAAAATGAGATAGATACACTTATCGTTGATCACCCATGAACCACCTTATTAATAATATGATCTTACACGTTCATGGGAAATTTTATGATTTAAGAGATTACAAACCATTAGCCGCTAGCTTGTTGAGGAGTGCGAGAGAATTGCTGGACAAATACAAAGACGTCGTGACTCTCTTACGAATCATCCTGACCGTTGATGATGACCTCGTCGACGTCTTTTCAAACCCATCAAGACACGTGTCCTTGTCAGTGAGGGAAGTGCTAAGCCACGTGGCAAGATCACTCATCTGCTGCTGAAACTCGCTGGCTCTGAGTGTCCGAAGGACGGCCAAGGACTTGTGCAGGCTATCAAGAGAATCTTGGAGCAGTTCTCGGCAATCAGACAAAGCGATTCGGTCGCGTTTCCCAATCGTTGAAAGCCGCGTTTTGAGTAGGTGTCTAAGGACGTCTTTGTTGTCGGTTATGGCAACGGAAACGCCGGCACGTGCCCATTTGCTGGGACTGTTCTTGGCGACTGGTGCAAAAGGCGATAGCGTTTTAGCGCAGAGATCTTGGTAGCGTGTAACACTACACGCGTTTTGAACGTAGCTTTCGCGTTTAGACGGTAATGATGATGTTGGGTTGAGAGAAACGAGAAAGAAGACAAGTGCAAATGTGATGGAAGAACTCATGAGGTTTTTCATGGGTTGTAAGAAAACTGTAATATATCTTTTATACAAAACTGGTGTCGACGAAAGAGATCGTATATATAGACACGTATAAATTTAATTTAGGGGTTTTGGTAGGTTTTAAAGTGAAAGTATAAAAAAGTATGGCGGTCCATTTGTAGGTGTCGGAGTTATGATCACAACGTTTCGTTCTAACGCTATGTTCGATGTTATTAATTTGTTGTTTTGGCGATAGCAAATCATTGGTTTAGTTAATTTGATTACTATGTTGAATAAAAATATCAGCAATTTTTTCCACCATTTTCAACTAACTACTCCAACCTAACGAAACTAGAGATTGGTCTATTTTATTTCTTTATTGTTTTGGTAATTATTGGTGATTGGTCTAATCCTTACTCTACCAGGCGGACTTAACCAAGATTGAAAACATGATTTTCCCCAACGTAGTGACAAGAAGAGTGAGTAGTACCTCTTCTATGAAAAAAATGATAAATTTATCTCATCATGGCTACGAATATATGTTATATATTATCAGTAAGTGTTTATAAATGGAAGATGAGCTAGTTGTGTACGGAATGAGGTTGTAGTAGTAGTACCGTTAGTCCGTTACATCGAAAAAGCTACATTATGTAGTTTTGTCATCGCCATGAGGCCCATGACCATATCTCTCTTCGAATCAAATTTTTTTTTGTTTAGTTACCTTTTTCTTTATTCACGACATTGCTACTTTCTTTAGGACGTGCGTGAGTTCTTATATACAACATAATTACGTAATGCGTGAGCATTTATGAATACAGCTAAAGAATTGAATCAAACTCACATGAATTGAGAGAACAAAGTATATGTGGTTATGGCGATTCACATGATTCCTATGAAACAAAAGACAATGCTCATCAACACAAGAATCTAAGGATTGCACACCAGAAAGAAGATGACTGAGACACTAATAAGAGAACTTTGAACATAAAACCATGAAGATCATAAAAAAGGACTTCTGAGCAAAACCTATGGACACTCATGAATGGGGGTAAGGAGAGAGAGGATTGTGTAGTGGCTTTCATTGGAAAATGAACCATACTTCTCGGACCTCGTATCAAGAATTAAGGTTGTATTTTCTTGGTTTGAAAAACTAGAGTGACCATCATGGCTTCATTCTTCTAGCGTCAACTCTTTTTCAAACTTCACATCAGACTCTGTGAAGCCACACAAACACAGACTCGGTACAGGGAAATCTAGAAAAAGATGATACCTAAGCAATCTAACAATATAAGTGACATGGATTTGGAAAATGACACAAAAGATGGGTCTCTACGACAAGACAAGGCTTCTAAGATTTGAAAATGACACAAGAGATGGGTCTCTACGACAAGACAAGGCTTCTACGATAATCCATTCAAGAAAAGTGGAAAAGTCAGGTCTACAGTCTAACAAACAACAGAGTCAATATTAGCCATGAATGTAAGTGAAATTCTGTAATTCTTGATCTGAAATGGACGAATCTCATCCAAAAATGTATGTAAGGATTTCTTATTGATTAAATTTGGCCGTGAAGAGAGAAAACAAACAGAGAATGACAAAAAAAGGTTACACCTTTCCCCGATTAAACAAAACGAGTAAGGGGCAAGTAATCCAATTTCAGACTGGGCAAGTCATTGAGAGAGACTTACTCATACAGATTTTTTCCGAAGCATCTCCTCTGATGGAAGCTCCAAAGTAGCTCCTGCGTGTTCCTGACTTGCTTTCACCTCTACAACACAAAAAAAAAATCAAATACCCAAAGATATGAGGTTTCACTCACGCATTTCAACAAACAGATGGTGCGCAAGATAAAAAAGAGTGAAATGAGTCAAAACGCACCGTATCCGCCGCGTTCGTTTAGTTTGGCCTGGACGATCATGGTGGAAATGAACTGCGTGGCTTCACGCGCCTCTTCGAGAAGGCGAGTGATGTCGGCGTTGGAAGCCACGAGGCGGTTCTCTTCGAATTTCTTACGGATCTCGGACGCCGAAGCTTTCAGCATCTCGGTATCACCGGCGAATGATTTTCTTGTAGCCCTGAGCAGAGCTCTGTACGCGATCAATGCTTCTCCGGTCACCATTTCTACTCCTTCCCCTTTCAACCTCCGCCGTCACTAAAATTGGAATTAGGAACTGGTTTCCGACAATCTTCTGTTCCAAATTTTAGTGGGCCCGTTCATGAATAAGCCCACTTTTTGGCCCATTAATGGATAAATTCGGATCATACCCGACTCAGCTGGATAAAACCCGAATCATTCGTCGTATCCTTGGGACAATTTATTTATGGCTTCTGGATGAATCGAATGCATTGTCTGATTGTTCACTCGAGTGTGTCTTCACCATTACAAAGAGGTAAATGTGTTTTGTAATGGTAAATTCACGCTTTAATTTCGCTTTTTATTTTGATGTTATAGTTCTATAGGAAACCCTAGATCATTGAGTCTGACCAATTCTGAAATTAGTCTCTTCGTTTGCCATTTATGTTTGAGGAATTTGGTTCAGATGCTTTATTGATATTTTATGTTTGGTTATTTCTCCAGTTTAGATAAAGATGGATCATGTATACAAGGGTCAATTGCAAGCATATGCCCTGAAACATAATCTGGAGCTACCTGTGTATGCCAATGAGCGAGAAGGGCCTCCTCATGCTCCTCGATTTAGATGTAAGGTTACATTCTGTGGACAGACTTTCCAGAGCCTTGAATTCTTTCCGACACTTAAATCGGCTGAACATGCCGCTGCGAAAATTGCATTGGCTTCATTGACGCCACAGAGTCCAGAGGCTAGTTCCCCCACTCTTTTTGGACCACAATAATTATGTTCTCTTTCAACATTGTTTAAATTTTAGTTCTATCTTTTTGTTATTCAGGGGATTGATGTTGCCTACAAGAACCTGTTACAAGAAATTGCTCAGAAAGAGAATTCTATGTTACCAGTTTATGCAACTGCTACTTCTGGTCCATCGCATTCGCCTACTTTTATTTCGACTGTTGAGTTTGCTGGGAAAGTTTTCACCGGAGATGAGGCAAAAACCAAAAAGTTGGCTGAGATGAGTGCGGCTAAAATTGCATTCATGAGTATAAAAAATGGTATGTATTATTAACCTTCTAACATCCTTTGCTTTTCCTATTGTTGTTTGTTTGTTTCAAAGCCATTTGATATTATTATCTGCATAGTTCCAATGTTAAAAAAGCCCAACGAGACCAAGTTGGTGAGAATCTATCATGTGCAGGGAACTCGAACCAGACCTCATCGCCTTCTTTGTCTTGTGAGAGACAAGAAGCTGCAAGTTCAAATGTGAAGAGCAGTCTACAAGAGATCCATTCCCAACCTTCCAAGGTGGTGATGACCCCTGATGCCCCATCAAAGTTGATGAAAGTGTCTGAAGATGGTTAGTCTTCTTTGAATCCTACACTACATGAATAATGCTTTGGTTTGTTTGTTAAAGGGAAATCTCTCTTCCTTTGTTATAACATGCGGTCCAATCAGAGGGACGTATTTCCTGAGATTGGTAGGAAACAACTATGAAATAAGAAAGCCAACCTTACTCTAACTGCATGAAATGGATTCTAATGTCAGTTTTATGCTAAATGGTCAAGATGGTTGTTCATTCAAAATTCATGCTCTACAGTCTTCATTCTGTGCAGAATTTCCAGATCTTCATAGTGCACCAGCCAGTAATGCTAAGGAGATTAACGTTGCTTTGCATGTGCCTGAAAATCCTGCAAACGATGGTACTCTTAATGCACCAACTACTGATGGTATGAAGATGAACATTGCTGCTTCTTCTTCTCCTATACCTCAGAATCCTACAAACGTTGTTACTCTTAATGCATCATCTACCAATGGTATCAAGAGGAACATTGCTGCTTGTTCTTCGCGTATGCCTCAGCATCCCACAAACGATGGTAGTGAAACATCATCATGTGTAGATGAGAGTGAGAAGAAGAAGCTCATAATGGGAACTGGCCACCTGAGTATACCAACCGGCCAACATGTAGTTTGTCGTCCGTGGAACCCGGAGATAACTCTTCCTCAAGACGCGGAGATGCTCTTTAGGGATGATAGATTTATTGCCTATCGTCTCGGGAAGCCATAAAGACATCATCTTTGATGCATAAAGTGTAGAGAATATTAAGCTAAGCTATATCTCACTGTTTGTAAATCGAATATGGTTAGGCTTCTTGTCTCTGGTTTTCTTAAGCAATAAGCTATGTGCTGTGTAATGACTAATTTTAGTTTTGAATGATAGTATTTGGATACTAAGAAAAGCGCAGTGAACTTAGTGTTGTGATGATCCAAATCACTGATTCAGTGGAATTTGCCAAACGGAAAAGGAAAGAGAAAATGGCGTCGGGGAGGGGGTAACGGGAAACAAAAGTAGATGTTACGACTTCTGGATTGATTTTAGCGAATATATGTCTCATTGCAGAGAGTTCACTTCGACTACCTCGAGTGTCTAAAAGGCTGAATCACCTTTACCTTCCTAAACACCAACTTCTTATTATAACAGCACTCGAAGTCTTGTACCTACACAATATTTCACAAGAAGTGAACAAACAGTAATTTTTGAAGCATTGTGTTTATCATATGTTTTAATTTTTATGATAATATTATAATTACCAAAAAAAACTTATCATAATCAAATATTATGTTAAAATCTTTTTAGAAAAGAAATAAAAATATTTTTAGTTAAAAATAGAGTTATCTACATATTTTTTATGCGAGTGTAAAGAATAAATATTAAATATTATTGATAATATTCAAATTATAAGTAGTAATCTGCACATCTTTTTAGGTTTTTAATTGGTAACTTTTTTTTTTATGAACCGGATATGAACCTCATACATTGCATCTCGCAATACAATTTAAGTATCTACTCTATCATAATAAATTGTATTTTACAATTATTTATATCATTACATGATCATCAAATCAATTTTTTAAATACTAGTTTTAAAAAATAAAAAACTAAATTTATTTTTAAAATAAAATATTATTATTTTTAGATGAAATTTTGCTTTTTCAATATTTAAACCTAAAAATATATGTCTTATTATTTTAAAAAATATATTATTAAACTAAATTTATTTTTATAACAAAAATATTATTATTTTTTAATCCAGTTTTAACATGTGAAAAATTCTTTCGCTCTCTCTTATAAGTGAGACATGTGATGCCTTAGACATTATACCATCCACAACAATGATCTTGTTGGTCATGTACTAATGGAACTTGACAGCTTTGGTTGCCGATTACAATTTTGTGCTGAGGCCCCAATCTTTACTTATGCAATGCGCACAAGTGGCTCCAAATATTTTAAATGAAGAAAGGTCAATTTGTTATGCAACTCAATCGTTTTTTGTCGTGAGTTTAACTGTGGACACTATCTTTGCAATGATTGGGTTGAAGGTAATGGATTTACTAATTTTGTGTTGATGTTTAGGTTGGTTCTCGAAATAATATTTCTAGTTTGTTTTCTTGAGGTTCAGTTGTAAATCAGTTGACAACAAAAAAACTTATCGTCTGTCCTGATCCTGATTGTAACTATTTCATCAACTACTCAACTCTGCCTGCTAATACAAGAACCATGTACCTAACTTCATTGTTTTTGGACTACGTGGATAACATTGTTGATAGGAAAACTCGTTTTGCACAGTGTAATTTAATGATGACAAGTCATTATATTAACATTTTCTTTATAGCTTAAGCTTGTTTTCAGTTTTTTGTTTTTCTTTTGATTTGTACTTTTCACGAGTCCCAACATCCACCCAAGATAAAGTCATTCATGGGTAAATATTTGGGACTCTTTCCCGAGGCGGATGAAAGGGATGAGGTGGTAGGACATGTGCTTTACACTGATTTATAAATTCTTGTGTGTAATAAGTACATAAAAAATGACTTGGGATCTTTGATGGTATCATGTAAAGTAATTCACTCTTTTTAGGCTTGAATCACTTCAATGTTGTTTTTTTTTCTTTTTCTTTTTTATTAGTTATTCTAATAATATTCATTTTTAATTTTTTTTTTTGATCCTCTTTATTTAAATGTCAATTTTTTTTATCTTCATTATTTTGTTTTTAACTATTTAAAACAAAATATCTATTTTAATAATATAGAAATATTTTAAATTTATAATAAAAGTTCTATATAAAAAAATTTGTGCGCCACCCATTTTTTGCTCAGTGGAATATGCCAAATGGTTGTCGGAATTCAGATGAAATTAGTTGGGCCCATCAAGTGTTTATGTTATAGCCCATAATATAAAGGCTCATTAAAGGATTTATTATATCGGGTTCTAATTGGATAAAACCCGAATCGATCGGACCCTGGAAATCAGGCGAAGAAGTCTTTCTTGCTTGAGAGACGACGAAATTTCTCCAGGATTTGGGATTCGAGAGAGAGAGTGAGAAAAATGGCGTCGGGGTGGGGGATAACGGGAAACAAAGGGAGATGTTACGATTTCTGGATGGATTTCAGCGAATGTATGTCTCATTGCAGAGAGCCCAAAGATTGTACACTTCTTCGTGAAGACTACCTCGAGTGTCTTCACCATTCCAAAGAGGTACCTTTCTCCTTTTTCCTTTTGCTTAGGGTTTCCTTCAATCTCGTTCCTTGTGATCATCAATTCACGCTTTTGATTGTTTGATTGATCTATTTCATTGATGATTCGTCCTGTTATCGGTCGTCTGTACGAAACCCTAGATCATTGATAGTTTCTGGATCACGATTTTGAGTCATGCCTAGATCCCTAAATCTGGTCGTTTCGTTTTCCATTGATGTCTCTAATTAGATGTACCTGTAAAAAAACATAAGCTTTCTTTTGCTTGGAACTAGAAAGTTGAATTGCAATCTCACTAGTAAAAATGTGGATGCTTTCACGAGGTAGCTTCAAGATATAAGCTTCATACAATACCCCACTTCCTTTGTCTGAGATTCAGTTTCATGCCCATGAATTAAGCTGTTAAGTTTGGAAGTTGAGGCTTACTCTTCATCTCTTGTCTCTGTTTGATCTTTCAAATGGAACGATCTTGTCTCTGTTCTCTATGTGGTGAAATCGTACATATGACTCTCCACTCCAAGGAATGAAACTGAATGTATAGGCTTGCGGGTCAAATTTTGAGAGAATCAAAAGCTTTGTTCTTGTTGTCTCCAATATTGATTCTTTCTTCTTTGCTTAGTATAAGCTTTTGGTAGATGGACTGATGAGGAGGGGATATTTGTGTATTTTGATTTAGTTCCAACGAAGAAACAGGATATACAAAGAGGAACAACGTAAACTAAGAGCTGCTTCAAGGAAAGGCGAAGAAACCGGGGATGGGACTCATACTCAGCACTAGTCAGAGAATTTTTCTCCTATCTCCAAAGTTTGCATCTTTAGCAGACGAGAAGAAGAATAAAAAGAGGTTCTTTGAAGATTTCTGTATGTTGTGCCAAACTTCATTTGATTGTTTTCACTTTCTGTTTGCTCTTGCAATGGATTTTTTCTTTTTTCTTGTCTATTACCTTTGACTGAGTTGTAATATGCCTTTGGCTTGCTCATCAAACACAGACTCCTTCTTTTATGGTAATAATTACTCTTACAGGTATATTAAAATCATAATTCGATAGATATTAAAGACAGAACAGTGGATGGAATAATGAAAAGGTCCTCTATAAATAGTTGTCATTGACTTTCTCTTAAGTCTTCTCTGCAACTTCTATATGTAATGCGTCTAGAGAGAAGCAGCTTTTGCATTGGGTAATATCAAAATGGGGACGAGATCTCTAGAAATAAAGGTGACATCAGCAAAAGGGCTTAAGAAAGTGTCCAAGATGGATGTTTTTGTGGCCGTGAAGTTATCCGGTGATCCAATATGCTCTGACCACCGTGAGCAGCGGACACAAGTGGCAAGAGACGGTGGAACTAGCCCCAAATGGAGCAATGATGTCATGAAATTCACCATTGACCAAACCTTAGCTGAAGCTAACCGCCTTGTGATCACTTTCAAGATCAAGTGCGAGCAACGTGGAGGAGTAGATAAAGACATTGGCGAGGTTCATGTTTCGGTGAAAGAGCTTTTGGATCATCTCGGAAACGATAAGACCGGTCAAAGATACGTCACATATCAAATCGGGAAAACCAAAGGCGATATTAGTTTCACTTATTCGTTCACAGGTCCGGTGGGGGTCCCGACCGGTGGCGGCTGCTCACGGTACGCAGCTCAAGTGCCGGTGCGTCCTGTATCGACCTACCGGCCTGTTTCGAACGGACCCGTGTTGAGTCAGTTGAACGGACCCGTGTTGAGTCAGTTGCTTCCAAGTGTTGGATCGTTTAGTTACAACCACGTTCCTTCTCAGCCACCGATTTATCCACCACTTACTCAGCCGGAGATTCTTCCACCGGCATGCTTCCCCGGAGTGTATCCGCCTCATGGCTATCCGATGAGTAACATGCCGGGAAGTCCACCCACAATGTATCAATCTATATTTCCTGGCTTATCATGTCCACCGGAAGGTTATTCTACGGTGGATCCGCCGCTGACACAACCGGGACTATATCCACCGATGAGTCCTTACAGATTTTAATTAAATGTCAACGTCTCCAAGACTAGTCGTCGGTGAGGAGATTTGTAGATTCTGTTTAACTAATAATGATGTCATCATTTCCCCCAACTTGTGTGTTTTGTTTTTCTTTTCACTATCTCTTTATGTTGTTGTGTGTGTTTTGCAAATAATAACCCTAAAAAATAAACACGAATCTTTTATAACCTTTGTTTTATTTTATTTTCAATTTTATAAAAATTTCGATATATTTTATAACCTAATGTTAATAGTATTGGGTCTATAATATTTATATCAGGAGTTGATATGAATCGTAAAGCAAAGAATCTAAATTTAAAATTTGTCTTTATCATAAAAAAAGAAAAAAAAATGTGGTGTTATTCACAAAAGAAAAAGGATTCAGTTAAAAATTCCAGTAATATTTGATTTTATCCTCTCTTTTTTTTTTTTTTTTTTGTTAAATAAGTCGAGTAGCCGCCTGAAAGATATGACGGCAACAAGCAAAGCACGAAGTCATCTTCTTCTTCCTATTTCTCTATTCCTCCTTCTCCACGCTTCTTCTTCTTCTTCCTCAATCTCTCTTACGATTCCTTCGAATACCTTCTTCCATGGCCACCGTCTCTTCTTCCTCCTGGCCAAACCCCAACCCTAATCCCGATCCCACGTCTGCCTCAGATTCCGATTCTACTTTCCCCTCTCACCGCGATCGCGGAGACGAAACCGACTCTCTCGATTCCTTCTCCTCCATGAGTCTCAACTCCGACGAGCCTAATCAGAACTCTAATCGGGACGTTAATATTAATCAATCGCCTATTTCTCCACCTACGCCCAATTTACCGGTGACGCCTCCTCCGTCCGTGCTTCATCTTTCCTTTAACCAGGACCATGCTTGCTTCGCTGTCGGCACTGATCGTGGCTTCCGGATCCTTAATTGCGATCCGTTTCGCGAGATTTTCCGGCGTGATTTCGATCGTGGCGGTGGTGTTGCTGTGGTGGAGATGCTTTTCAGATGCAATATATTAGCCCTAGTGGGTGGTGGACCTGATCCTCAATATCCTCCTAATAAGGTTATGATTTGGGATGATCACCAGGGCCGATGTATCGGAGAGCTCTCTTTCAGGTCCGATGTTAGATCGGTCCGGCTTAGGAGGGATCGGATTATTGTCGTTCTGGAGCAGAAGATTTTTGTCTACAATTTCTCCGACCTCAAGCTGATGCATCAGATTGAGACCATTGCGAACCCTAAGGGTTTGTGTGCTGTTTCTCAGGGTGTTGGTTCTATGGTATTGGTATGTCCAGGTTTGCAGAAAGGTCAAGTTCGGATCGAGCACTACGCTTCTAAACGGACCAAATTCGTCATGGCTCATGATTCGAGAATAGCTTGCTTCGCTCTCACGCAGGATGGGCATTTGTTGGCAACAGCTAGCTCTAAGGGTACTCTGGTTCGGGTCTTCAATACTGTTGATGGAACCTTGCGCCAAGAGGTACGCTTTTAATTCACAGAATGCTGCTGTATACTTTTATTGATTGATGTAAGAATGCTGGCAAATTTGGTTGATTAGTCACTGACTTGTAGTTTCTGGTTCTGAGAATGCACTAGGTAAAGAGAGTAGTACTGCATTTGTATGATCTCATTTCACATTTTCTTTCTATTATTAGCTTAGAGATTGAGAAAAGTACACTTTTATATCCTTGGTGACTGCTTTGAGCTGATTTACTTGCTGGTTTTGGATGTGTGTGATAGAGGCCGATAGTTTTGACCCTGTGTACAATCAATTTAGTGTTTTCGTCTCTGTCAATTTACTTCGTTTCACCTTAAATCTTTAGTTCTTAGATGTTGAAAAGGATGCATCTTTTGCTTACTGAGGTAAACCTGGTAATATTTTGAAAACTATACCTTGTTTTTGATGAATCCATCAGCAAGAGCAATGGTTATTACAAAGCACTACAGCTTCACTGAGTCTTGTTTCTTTTCATTAGTCACTGACTTAAGTCCTTTCTTCATCGGTTCCTCCGTAGAAAAAGTTTCAAGTATCTATCTTATCTATCTTCATCGGAATCACTTATCATGTATAAGATATGAAATTTTGTGATTCTAATATTTAGGAAATCTCAAATGTATCTGTGATCCTTATAATAATGCCGTATCAGTTTGGAATCCATGGCACAATAATCCCACCGTGATGTGACTCTACAGGTTAGGAGGGGTGCGGATAGAGCGGAGATCTACAGTTTGGCCTTCTCTTCAAATGCTCAGTGGTTAGCTGTCTCAAGTGACAAAGGAACGGTCCATGTCTTTGGTCTCAAAGTCAACTCCGGATCTCAAGTGAAAGACTCATCCCGAATTGCACCTGATGCTACTCCCTCATCCCCATCGTCATCTCTGTCTTTATTCAAAGGTAAATGCTCTAAACCAAAAATCAGTTACTTTCACAACTTAGCAGCATATTTGATCAGAAAACTCCCCTCATAAAGCTCCCATTGACATAATTAAGCATATAACTCTTTTACTTTATTTAGGAGTGTTACCAAAGTATTTCAGCTCGGAGTGGTCGGTGGCTCAGTTCAGGTTGGTTGAAGGAACTCAGTACATAGCCGCCTTTGGCCATCAAAAGAACACCGTTGTTATTCTTGGCATGGACGGGAGGTAAGCAAACATAATTCCATTGACAAACTTTAATCACGAAATTGCAATTGAGAAGCTGATAAAGCACTTGAATTCTTGATGATTTGTTCTGTTTATGGCATATTCGATTTGATTTTACCGTAGTTGGGTTAACCTCCTTTGATGTTCTTAAACAGCTTCTACAGATGCCAGTTTGATCCGGTGAACGGCGGAGAAATGTCTCAGCTTGAGTACCACAACTGTTTGAAACCGCCTTCAGTTTTCTAAAAGCTACGTACTTATTCTCTTTTGTTCCTTATCTCTCTCTCTCTATCTCTCTGCTACTTAAGCGGTGAGATTTGATGCAATGTATAGTTGTGTATATAATAATGGGTCGTTCTATAATTTGTAAAAACCTTCGATCGCTAACCAAAAAGGATTCACGGCTCATCAATATGTGTCTTCCCAAACATTTCACTTAGTTGTGTAAAAACGATCAGTGTTTAGTTTATACCCTTGTTTGAAAAATCGCTAGGCGCTAGTCGGGCGCTCGGCATGGGCCTAGCGATTAATCGGAAAATCGGATTAAAATCGGGGATTAATCGGGGATTAGTTTTAGGGTTATTTTAATATTTTTAAAACATATTAATCTAATATTATTTTCAAAATTGCAGTAAACACATAAAAATGTATTTTTGAGACAAATTTTATGATTTTTATTACAAATTTATGATTTTTATTAAAATTTGAACATAAACTCCCAATTTAAATGATTGAATAACAAAAATAAAAAGTTTTTTTATACTAGCAATTTAAAAAATAATCGGGGTATGTAAGATTAGACGGGGAATAATCGGATTAGGCGGGGAATAATCGGATTAGGCGGGAAGTAATCGGATTAGGCGGAGAGTAATCGGGTGACTGATTTCTTTAAGGGATTAGTCATTAATCGAGGCGGATAGGGTGGGCCTAGCGATTAAGCGGGGAGTAATCGGGTCTAGGCGGGGATTTTTAGAACAGGGGTTTATACAGATCAATCAACCTTTTTCGTTTGATTGGCCACGTGTACTGAATGCCTCGTGCACGCAAATTAATTAGATACTGTGGCAGGTGAATTTCGTAAACTAAGTTTCGAGGCACGAGAAAAAGGAATCCTATTTCAAACCCATCAATTTAAGCGACCTCAAAATAACCAACTTCTGAAATAATGTGTATAAAATTGGAAAGATTCGCGTACTTACGTAACCTAATGTTAGATTCGATTTATATTTCATACATAGTTATTAAAAGTCCAAGAAACAGGACCACATACATACTGGCTAGGTTTTACGAAATTCAAAGCATAGGGGTCATATATATATATATATATATATATATTTTCTTTGCTAAACCATAGGTCATATATATATAGAGAAGCAAATGAGACCACAGTTGTGACTTGAGACCTTCCTCACTCTTTCTCCCGAGTTAAGAGTTAGTGTGACTCATTCTTTGATAAAAAAGAACAAAAAAATAAGAACGGCCATGAAGGTATATGGAGATGAGATGTCAGCGTCCGTGGCACGTGTTCTTCTCTGCCTCCATGAGAAGAACACCGAGTTCGAGCTTGTCCCTGTCAATCTCTTTGCTTGCCACCACAAGCTCCCTTCTTTTCTCTCCATGAACGTACGCATATTTCTCAACACATTACTATCATACGCATACATGCTTACAACATGAATGTGTATAACTCCGGAAATCTTTTTTTTTTTTTTTTTTTTTTTTTTTTTTAAACCCTATCGGCTATCCGGTCGGCCCCGGTAGGAACGCACCGAGGTGCTACATAGTGGACTAGTCCACCGTGTTAACGGTTAGGCCCTTACGGGCTACCACTCTGCCTATCCCGAGTTTGGAATGCCTTCCGACTAAGTGCAGGGGTAGTCAGGCCGCCTGCATTTCTGGCTACTAGGTAAACCAATTGGGCCAAGGCCCAACTGACAGACTTCCCAAACAAATGTGTTTTTGTTTCCAGGGAGAATCGAACTCAGGTTTGAGAGTTTTACCCTTTCCCAAAACTTCCTCTGCCACTAGACCACAGATGCTTGGACCGGAAATCTTTTTTCATACCAAAAAAAAAAACAAAAAACATGAATGTGTATACTATATGTTCATAATCATCTGTTTTCGATGCAGCCCTTTGGCCAAGTTCCAGCTCTACAAGACGATGATCTTACTCTTTTTGGTTCGTATAACTATCATAAATTTTATTTTGACATAGTGATTTAATTTAGTTTAACAATATTTTGCTATTAAAAACAGAGTCGAGGGCAATCACTGCATATATAGCAGAGAAACATAGAGACAAAGGAACGGATTTGACAAGACACGAAAACTCTAAAGAAGCAGCGATTGTGAAGTTATGGTCGGAAGTGGAGGCTCACCACTTCAACCCGGCGATATTCGCCGTCATCCACCAGCTCATTGTGGTGCCGCTTCAAGGCGAATCTCCTGATGCAGCCATCGTAGAGAAGAATCTGGAGAAGCTAGGGAAAGTACTCGACGTGTACGAAGAGAGACTTGGGAAGACAAAATACTTAGCCGGAGATACTTACACACTTGCAGATCTCCACCACGTTCCGTACACTTACTACTTCATGAAGACGAGTCATGCCGGTTTGATCAACGACCGTCCTAATGTCAAGGCGTGGTGGGAAGATCTCTGTTCTCGTCCGGCTTTTCTTAAAGTCTCTCCTGGCTTGACCGTTGCTCCCACCACAAATTGATCCAAAGATTCTCACTGCGTCTTTTTTGTTTTCTATGATATCAAGTTTTTGTTTCGTTTTTTGGGTGTTGTTTTTGCGTTTGCGCATCCAGGGAATCGAACCCTGATTAGAACCGTGGGAGGGTACTATGATACCATTACACCAGATGCGCTTTTGTGATGCGAGGCCCAAAATATTATTCTTTCCATAGCCGTTAAATTTTGAGGCATTAGAGCTTGTGTCTCTCTCTCTCCCTTTGTGACTTTTTTGATTGTGTGTGAGTGTTATTTTTTTTTTTTTTTACTAATCATCCAGAATCCATGCGACTCATTTTGATCTCACAAGACACATCATTATTCATATGCAAATCCCTGAGGTTTTATTTTATCATAGAATAGATGATATCAAACCAAACCAGGATCCTTTATTTTAAAAACATTACAGTGAAGACGAGCCTGCAGAGAAGTTGCTCTGAAGCTGAGTAATATCTTTAGCAACATCAATTGTACCTTTGAGAAAACCTGAGTACCAAAAAGCAGAGAGTTTCGGCGACCTCTTGCGACCAGGATCGCTGAAATTCACATAGTACATTCCAAAGCTGGTTGTATAACCAACCGTTATCTCATACAAATCTATCAGCGACCATACGAAGTAACCTCTCATGTCCGATCCATTCCTGACCAGTCAAAAGATTTGGCACAAAGAGAGAGTCAAGTAAACCGGAACTAAACCAATGAATTATAAAGTCATAATATATTAATGTGAGGACTAAGATTTGAAGAAGGATGATCATACTTGATGGCGTTGAGCATTGCACCAATGTAAGCTTGAATGTATTCAACTCTTGGTGTGTCTTGTAGCATCGAATCGTGTTTCATCGGTGTACCTGTTTTTGTTTTTTGGTGCGATTTGAAGAATCTTGAGAACAAAAAGGTGTGGTTTCAAAAAGACAAAAACAGAGCAAGAAGACAAAATAGAATGAAGTGTACCATTTTCAAGAATGTAGATTGGAGGATTGTTATAGCTTTGCTTTAGATGCTCAAGAATACCTTCCAGACCCCATGGAGTGGCATCAAACTTCAAGAAAGCAATTGGGTAAGGAAAATCTCCAGATTCAAGAAGATCAAACAAGAGCTTTTGGCATAAATACATATGTGTGTTCTGCAGATTTGCAGGACCTTACCTCGAATGATGAAGAATTCCCAGCGGCTGTCCAAAGAAAAAGACTTCTAAATTAAAGAGAGTTTCAAAAAAAAAAAAAGGATTGAATAATGATGAAAATAAACTTGGCATACAAATAATATACGCGCCCATGTCTGTAAAGAAGCCTTTGTTAGTGCTACTGGGAAATATATAAGGTGCGGGTCGGTTTGTGACATAGACTGTCGTGTAGTGAATAATTCCTACAAAGTCAGATGACCCTTTCACTTGCTCCGACTCTTCCTCTGAGAAAACCGGTAATCTCGATCCCAAGATTCTTTTCATTTCATCCGGATAGTCCCCATATACCAAAGGCTTCAACATCCTGAATTATCAATTTAAGTCTTCAGATTTTGTCCTCAAGTTTTTAAAACAAAGAAAGCTTATTCCTCACCAGCCAAAGAGGAAAGCTTTAGCTCTTTCAGTTGCGATTTCATCGTCCTTGGAGTTTGTATAAGGAGATAACCCCAATGCAAATATACTAAGGCCTATGGATCCTCTTTGCTTACTCTGCACCATGGATTACGTTCATACTGGTGGAGAGTTTTTAAGAGCGAAAAAGAGATAAATATGAATACCTTGTACTTTAATTTATACAAACTTGAGGCAGAGGCATGAGCTAGCAACATGTTATGGCCTGCAATATATGTTTCCATACAAGAATTTCCGGTAGAGCAATTGATGTATTTGGTAGGAGAACAATGTCCAAACTTTATTCCTTCGCCATAAAAAGCAAAGGCGAATATTGTAGCTTCGTTGATTGTAGTCCATAACTTCACATCGTCCCCAAACTCTCTGAAGCATACATCTGCAAAACCAGTGAAGTCTTCTCTGCAATATAACAAATAAACAACATTGTTTATTTCCTGTTCATATTTTAAAAAGTGACTTTGTTAGGTCATAATCTTCTTTGATCCTTTACATTATTTTGCGGTTGATCCATCCTCCATACTCATCTTCAAGAGACTGAGGAAGATCGTAGTGATAAAGTGTAACGTGAGGTTCGATTCCTGTTAAAGTGCAAATAATAGTTTTGCCAAAAGATTTGTCAGAAGCTATTAATTGGCTTTAGTTGCGACTTGCGACAAAGTGGTAAGACAAAAACCTCACCATGGCTTCGTAGTTCTTTAATGAGGTTCTTGTAAAACAATAGACCTTTTGGGTTAATGGGTCCTCTTCCATCTGAAAAATTAACATAGACAAAGACAAAAAGGGTTTAAAGAGGTCAGGGACAATATCGTTAGTTACTTGCAAATCAAGAAACCAGGAAGAGGCATTTACTAGGTATAAGTCTTGTCCAAGAGATGGAGAATCTGAATGCTTCTAAGCCCATATTAGCCATCAGCTTAACATCTTCCTGCAAAAGTTACAATAACATTGAATTTGAAAAAACAGAGCCGATAACTTCTTAGACAAGTAAACGGCAAAGAAAAGAGAGTAACCTTGTATTTGTGATACCCATCACATGCTATATCTCCATTACTTCCATTATCTGCAATTTTTGAAGTAAAAAATTTTCTCATACAAACGCCGAATAATGACTCAAAATTTAAACAAAAAAAAAGCTTACGACAGTGGGAGCTTGTATCCCAGACGCTAGGAGTTCTTCCGTCTTCATCAACAGCACCTTCCCACTATTTCCACAAATCCCCCCAAAAAACTCAAATTTTAGAAAAAACAAATAAAAATGGAACAAAACAAATTGCCATTGATGTTGTAGCAGACTCGAACCTGATAAGCAGAAGTAGCGGCTCCGAAGAGGAAATCCTCTGGAAAATCGGTTCTGGTGAAGGCATCAATGTAGCTTGTCACCAAAACGATAGCCAGAATAATGGAAAACAGATAGAAATGTTTCATTTTTTATTTTCCTCCTCTAGTTTGAGTCCAAATGAATAAATAATTGAAGGGTCCGGTTCAGTCGTTTTCTTGGACCATTAAAAAAAGAAATACATAATTGAGTGAAGTGTATTTTGGTGAATTGTGAAGACTATAGTCTATAGAAATATCTTTTCTACTCTCTTCCACTCGTAATACGCGACAAATATACATGTGAGGACGACTATAGTCTATAGAAATATCTTTTTTTCGGTGAAGTGTAATCCTTAGATGTACCTTCTCTACGTACATACATGCCAATATAGGTAACACATCATAATGGTTCGTTTGTAGTATAAAAACAAATTTCGGAAAATAATAAAAAAAAATATTAGATTTGTAGATTTTTTTTTCCGTTTCTGTTCATTATATTTTGGGACCAAAATAAATGCTCGTTTAGTTAAATTTTAAGATATATTTTGTTTTAATGATATTTGTATGTACCAAAATAAAAGAAGAGTGAGTAGAGTTTTATGGTTATTTTATGCTCATTTTCTCTCTCTCCATATTTTAGATAAATATAGATGTGCCCTGTACTAAAAAAACTTTTGGATCCTCCCCTGGGTGTAACCGAGTATTTAGATTTTTATTGTATTTGTGTTTGGCAAACAAAAATACTAATTTTGTTAAATTTTACACCAGATGCACTTTTTACTACTATTAATTTTCTCTTAACGTTGGAATTTAAGCCTTTAGTGTCTTTGTGACTTTTGTGATTGTGTTCGAGTTTCTAGAATCTATATATGCTACTCTCGTGGGTCTCAAAAGCTACATCAATTCATTATTCATATGCAAATCTTATCAAACCATTTTCCAACTCATTGAGTTTGTTTCATACGATAGATGAAATCAAACCAAACCAGGATGCTTTAGTTTTAAATACATTACAACGAAGAAGAGCCAGAGAATTTTGTCTGCAACTGAATAGTATCTTGAGAAGCAACATCAATTGTACCATTGAGAAAACCAGAGTACCAAGAAGCAGAGAGCTTTGGAGACCTCTTGCGACCGGGATCGCTGAAATTCACATAGTACATTCCATAGCTGGTCATATATCCACCTATTAACTCATACAAATCAACCATCGACCATACAAAGTAACCTCTCGTGTCCGATCCATTCCTGATCAGTCAAAATATTTGTCAGGAATAAAACAATCAATGCGAACTGAAAGATGAAGAAGAAGAATCTTACTTGATGGCGTTGAGCACAGCACCAATGTAAGCTTGAATGAATTCAACTCTTGGTGTGTCTTGTAGCGTTGAACCATGTTTCATCGGCTTACCTGTTTTTTTATTTTTATTTTTGGGTGTGATTTGAAGAATCTTAAGAACAAAAAGTTGTGCTCTCAAACATACAGAACAGAGCAAGAAGTCAAAAATAGAATGAAGTGTACCGTTTTCAAGAATGTAGATTGGAGGATTGTTATAGCTCTGCTTTAGATGCTCCAGAATACCTTCCAGACCCCATGGAATAGCATCAAACTTCAAGAAAAACAAGAAGCATCAAACCAGAGCTTTTGGCCTAAATATATGTATTGTGTTCTACGGATTTATAGGTCCTTACCTCGAATAGTGAAGCATTCCCAGTGGCTGTCCAAAGAAGAAGAGTTATCAGCTAAAAGATTTGGGAAGCTTGTTCGATCGAATGAAAATAAACTAGGCTTACCTATCAGAGATGCGCCAATGTCTGTAAAGAAGAGTTCGTTAATGGTGGTAACGAGAGAAGGTGCAGGTCGGTTTGTGACATAGAATGTGTTGTAGTGAATAACTCCTACAAAGTCAGATGATCCTTTCACTTGCTCTGACTCTTCCTCTGAGAAAACCGGTAATCTCGATCCCAAGGTCCTCTTCATTATATCCGGATAGTCCCCAAATACCAAAGGCTTCAACATCCTGAATTATCGATTTAGCCTTCAGATTTTGTCCTCAAGTTACTGAAACAAATAAAGCTTATTCCTCACCAGCCAAAGAGGAAAGCTTCAGCTCTTTGAGTTGCGATTTCATCGTCCTTGGAGTTTGTATAAGGATATAACCCATATGCATATATACTAAGGCCCACGGATCCTCTTTGCTTAGTCTGCACCATCATATGAATTATGTTCATACGTTTTAAGAGCGGAACAGAGAGATATATTATATGTATACCTTGTACTTGAGCTTATACAAATTTGAAGCAGAGGCGTGAGCTAGCAACATGTTATGGCCTGCAATATATGTTTCCGTACAAGAATTTCCGGTAGAGTAATTGATAGGAGGACAATGTCCATACCTCATTCCGTCGCCATAAGAACCAATGGCGAATAAAGTAGCTTCGTTGATTGTAGTCCATAACTTCACATCATCCCCAAACTCTCTGAAGCATACATCTGCAAAAGCAGTGAAGTCTTCTCTGCAATATAACAAATAAACAGCATTGTTTTTGGTTTTCTATTCGTATTTTAAAAAGTGACTTTGTTAGATCAAATCTTTTGTTATCCTTTACATGATTTTTCGGTTGATCCAGCCTCTGTACTCATCTTCAAGAGACTGAGGAAGATCATAGTGGTAAAGTGTAACGTGTGGTTCGATTCCTGTCAATATTTAGTTTTGTCAATATGTCTATCAGAACTCAGAAGCTATGAATTGACTTTAGTTGCGATAACGTGTAAAGACAAAAACCTCACCATGGCCTCGTAATTCTTTGATGAGGTTCTTGTAAAACAGTAGACCTTTGGGGTTAATGGGTCCTCTTCCATCTGACAAAAAGGGTTTAAAGAGGTCAGGAACAATATCGTTAATTAGTTACTTGCAAATTAAGAAACAAGGAAGAGGCGTTACTAGGTATAAGTCTTGACCAGGAGATAGAGAATCTGAATGATTCTAAGCCCATTTCTGCCATCAACTTAACATCTTCCTGGCAAAGTCACAATAACATCGAATGCAGGGCCAGAGACTTACGATAACTTCTTCGGAAAGTAAAATGGCAAAGAAGAGAGACTAACCTTGTATTTGTGATACCCATCACTTGCTATATCTCCATTATCTCCATTATCTGCAATTTTTTGAACAAGGATCTATAAAAAAAAGTTCATATAAAGAACATATAAAACTAATGTAAACAGAAAAGCTTACCACAGTGGGAGGTTGTATCCCAGACGCTAGGAGTTTTTCCGTCTTCATCAAAGGCTCCTTCCCACTATTTCCATACATTCCCCAATGAACTCTATATTTAGAGGCAGGAAGCAATCATATAGTATGAAAAAAAGAACCCAAAAAGCAGAGAGAGTCAAAACCTGATAAGCCGAAGTGGCGGCTCCGAAGAGGAAATCCTCTGGAAAATCGTTCCTGGTGAAGGCATCAATGTAACATGTTGCCAAACCGGTGACCAGAATAAAACTAGAAAACAGAGACAAAGGTTTCATTTTTATTTTCCTTCTTTTTGTCTAAGTTCAAAGCGAATAAATAATTGAAAGGTTTTGTCCTAATTTGGACCCATTTACTATTGAGTGAGAATGACCCATCTTTCTATTCCTTCTCCTCCATTCGTTAAAGCAAACAAATATACTGTATATTTTTTGCCCCAAGTGTAAATAAATCCTTGTGGTGTGAGTGTGACCGACATAAAATTACAAAACGTGGGAGATTAATTAAACCAACTCTACGTACAATATGTAGGTAACACATCATAATGGTTCATTTTGTGGTTGTGTTTGAGTGTTGTTAACATTACAAGGAAGAAGAGGCAGAGAAGTTGCTCTGCAACTGAGTACTATCTTGAGAAACAACATCAATTGTACCATTGAGAAAACCAGAATACCAAGAAGCAGAGAGCTTTGGAGACCTCTTGCGACCAGGATCGCTGAAATTCACATAATACATTCCGAAGCTGGTCGTATATCCACTCAATAACTCATACACATCAATCATCGACCATACGAAGTAACCTCTCGTGTCCGATCCATTCCTGATCAGTCAAAAGATTTGTCACAAAGAGAGAGTCCAAGTAAACCGGAATCAAACCGGGATATCAGACCATTTCAAAAAGATAATATGAGGACTAAAAAGATGAAGAAAGAGAATCATACTTGATGGCGTTGAGAACAGCACCAATGTAGCCTTGAATGTATTCAACTCTTGGTATGTCTTGTAGCATCGAATCGTGTTTCATCGGTTTACCTGATTTTGTTTTTTGGTGCCATTTGAAGAATCTTAAGAACAAAAAGTGTGCTTTCAAGTAGACTAAACAGAGCAAGAAGACAAAATAGAATGAAGTGTACCATTTTCAAGAATGTAGATTGGAGGATTGTTATAGCTTTGCTTTAGATGCTCAAGAACACCTTCAAGACCCCATGGAGTAGCCTCCCACTTCAAGAAAAGCAATTGTATAAGGAAAATCATCAGATTCAAGAAGATCATCAAACAATAGTTTTTGGCATATAAATATTCTGCAGATTTGTAGGACTTTACTTCGAATAATGAAGAATTCCCAGCAGCTGTCCAAAGAAGAAGAGTTATCAGTGAAAAGAGTTGAGAAGCTTTTTGACTGATGATGAAAATAAACTTAGCTTACAGATCATATATACGCCCATGTCTTTAAAGAAGCCTTGGTTCATGATGGGAAAGATTGAAGCTGAGGCTCGATTTGTGACATAAAATGTTGTGTAGTGAATAATTCCTACAAAGTCAGATGATCCTTTAACTTGCTCTGACTCTTCCTCCGAGAAAACCGGTAATCTCGATCCCAAGGTTCTTTTCATTTCATCCGGATAGTCCCCAAATACCAAAGGCTTCAACATCCTGAATTATTAATTTAGTCTTCAGATTTTTTCCTCAAGTTTTTAAAACAAAGAAAGCTTATTCCTCACCAGCCAAAGAGGAAAGCTTTAGCTCTTTGAGTTGCGATTTCATCGTCCTTGGAGTTTGTGTACGGAGATAAGCCGAATGCAAATATACTAAGGCCTATGGATCCTCTCTGCTTTATCTGCACCATCATATGAATTACGTTCATACGGATTTAGGGGTTAGGGTTTGAAGAGTGAAAAAGAGATAAATATATATACCTTGTACTTTAGTTTATACAATTTTGAAGCAGAGGCATGAGCTAGCAACATGTTATGCCCTGCAAGATATGGTTCTGTAGAAGAATTTCCAGTAGAGCAATTGATGAATTTGTTGGGACTACAATGTCCAGGCGGCGCGACTCCTTCGCCATAAGAAGCAATGGCAAATATTGTAGCTTCGTTGATTGTAGTCCATAACTTCACATCATCCCCAAACTCTCTGAAGCAGACATCTGCAAAAGCAGTAAAGTCTTCTCTGCAATATAACAAATAAACAAAATCCTTTATTTTCAATTCATATTAAAAAGTGACTTTGTTAGATCAAATATTTTGTTATCCTTTACATGATTTTCCGGTTGATCCATCCTCCGTACTCATCTTCTAGAGACTGAGGAAGATCATAGTGGTAAAGTGTAACGTGTGGTTCGATTCCTGTTAATAGTTTTGCCAAAATTTCAATCAGAAGCTATAGATAAAGGCAAAAGTAAAAAAAAAAAAGAAAAGTATAATGACAAAACCACACCATGGCCTCGTAGTTCTTTGATGAGGTTCTTGTAAAACAGTAGACCTTTTGGGTTAATGGGGCCTCTTCCATCTGACAAAAAGGGTTTAAAGAGGTCAGGAACAATATCGTTAGTTACTTGCAAATCAAGAAATCATGAAGAGGCGTTACTAGGTATAAGTCTTGTCCAGGAGATGGAGAATCTGAATGCTTGTAAGCCCATATCAGCCATAAGCTTAACATCTTCCTGCAAAAGTCACAATAACATCGAATTTGAGAAAAACAGAGCCAGAGACTTACGATGACTTCTTTGAAAAGTAAAATGGCAAAGTAAAAAAAGAGAAACCTTGTATTGGTGATACCCATCACATGCTACATCTCCATTACCTGTATCATCTGCAAGTGTCGAACAAGGTTAATAAAATGTTTGTTGACAAAAAAAAACACACACACACGAAAGCTTACAGGAGTGGGAGAAAGTATCCCAGACGCTAGGAGTTCTTCCGTCTTCATCAGCAGCTCCTTCCCACTATTTCCAGAAATTCCCAACATCATTCATAGAACCAAAAAAAAAAAAAAAAAAAAAAACTCGATTTTATAAACAAAACGATGATCCAAACAAAAAAAAATGAAAACAGGGAAGCATAATCGAACCTGGTAAGCAGAGGTGGCGGCTCCGAAGAGGAAATCCTCTGAAAAATCGTTTCTAGTGAAGGCATCAATGTAGCTTGTTGCCAAAACGATGACCAGAAATATGAAAAATTGAGAGAAAGGTTTCATTTTTTTTGTTTTCCTCCTTTCGTCTTGATTACAAGAAAATGATTAGTACAAGTGTTTAGTCGTTTAGTCGAAATTGATGGATCTTTTCTATTCCATTTTCCACTCGTAAAAACTTAAAAGGGACAATACATGTGAAAAAATGCCTAAAAATTATATTCTTTTCGGTAGTGATAGTCTTTGTGATGTGAGTGTGACCGACATAAAATTCCAATTTTCTGTAATTGTAATTTGTTAACGTTAATTAGTCTCTCATTTTTGAAATATTATATATGAATTTTGGAAAGAAAAACAAATAATTGGTGGATTAAGATTTTTTACCCCTTTTGGTTCATGCTAAATTCATTGTATTTTGTTGAACAAAAATGCTAATTACTTAAACTTAACATTTTTGTTTCTAAGATATTTGTATGTACTAAAATTGAAAGAGAATAGTGAGCGGAGTTTTGTTGTTACCTCTGGTCGGCTGGTCCTCTGGATTCATCTTTTTTTGGTTTAAAGACAAGACAGTGGACCCTTTCCAAAAAGAGAGCTGCCACGTGATTAAAAATCTCCCACAAAAGTCAAATTATGGCAAGGTGATTATTTACATAAGAAAAAGTTTCTAGAAACGAATGAATTCAATGAAAGAACAAAAAAAAAAGTACATAAAAAATGAATTGCGCATCCAGGGAATCGAACCCTGGTCAGTACCGTGGGAGGGTACTATGATACCACTACACCAGATGCGCTTTTGCGTAAATTACCTCAAACGTTGTTTTTAAACGGCAAATTCAAATATTGCGATTGTTTTTAGTAGCAAATATTAAAATTTTGTTCCGTACGAAAGAGAACAGCGTAAATCCCAGATTCATGGGATGATTTCGAATATAAGTTAGTAAACAAAACAAACAATTCTTCTTAAATCGAAAATGTTATCTTCTGTTCACAAATTGGGCCTTCAGTGATTAAAGTAAGTCCATTCTAAGATAAGGCCCACGAGCATCAGAAGCATATATAATTTTCACTCTAACTTTTATAACACATCAGAAAGCATATATTATATTTTTCAGTGAACTTTTTATATTCAGGAAAAAGAACTCTAAATTTCCATGTCAAGTTGAAATGCTTTTTCAAACCACATTTTTCTTAGATATGTGTTTGATTTGAGCTAGTTAGTTAGATACATATAGATTGGTTGTTATAAATGACCACACTCTTGATTTTACTTTCTTGACAGGTGGTTGTAATTTCCTTGATCACAAGTTATAATGCAGATATCTCAACTTATTAAGGTATCAATATCTTCATTTAGTCACCATCATACTAATTCACCACGTCTTCTTCTTCTTTTGCCCTATCTTTCCATACACCTACTTGGATCGGTTGAGAGTAAACATATAATATAACAAGGGGTCAAGGTGATATAGTAACGTGTGACAATAATATATATTTCACTGAATCAGGTAAATTATGTTAATTACCTTACGTAATTACAAATTGTTATGGTAGTTAGCGATTTAGAAAAACTTGTCGATATTCCATTGATACCAAAATAAGCTATTAACTTAGTATTCACGTATGGTCCAAAAACATAATAATCTCATAACGTTGAAATATTAAACGAAATATAAAATTACAACCCTCTATAAATTGCTAAGTTCTTGCGTACATGTTTTGAAGACATAAATTATCAAAGAAACAAAAGGAAAGCATGTTTAAACTCTGTCTCGTTCTAATCTTGCTTATTGCAATAGATGCAAGTCCGGTTCAGTCCGGTTCTCTTAGTTGCTCCGGGAATATATCAGCGAGCGATGTCGATCGAGTTCATTTCGCGCTGAACTTGGAGTTCACTGAGGCCGAGTTCTTCTTGAAAGGGGCTACCGGAAAAGGACTCGATGCGTTTAACGCTACACTTGCTAAAGGCGGACCACCGCCGGTAGGGGCCAAGAAAGCCAATCTTGATCCTATAACTAAACGAATCATCGAGGAGTTTGGTTATCAAGAAATCGGTCATCTTAGGTATAACAATTAAATTCAAATTTCTTTAAGTGATTGTTGTGCATGACCGTTAAAACTCAAAATAAGTTTTGTTGATGTTGAAGGGCGATTACGGATATGACGGGAGGAATTCCGCGTCCGCTAATAAATCTGACGAGAGAAAATTTCGCAGTATTTATGGACAGAGCGGTTGGACGCAGATCTAATCCGCGGTTTGATCCTTATGCCAACTCACTCAACTATCTCTTAGCTTCATACTATATCCCTTATGTTGGCCTTACCGGTTATGTCGGAGCCATCCCTTACCTTGTCTACTTCAATATCAAACGGGTAAATTTTACTTTCAACTTATTTAAGATTTTAATAATTCTAATAGCCTAAGTAAAAGCTTTGCTAAACTCTATAAAAAAAATAGTCTAATGCAAAAATACATGTTATAGCCGAAATTTTACATGTTATACTATATATACACGTTAAGCTACAGTATGAATTCGTACCGTACAATCGAATTAATAATTTGCTCGTAGTGATTATTGTGATATTAATATATATCAGCTAGTGGCGGGTCTACTAGGGGTGGAATCGGGTCAAGACGCAGTGATAAGGACGCTTCTGTACGAGAGACAGAACGAGACGGTTGAGGAATACGGCGGTGTCACGGTGGCTGAGCTGACCAATGAGATATCTAACCTCCGTAACGAACTCGGTATGTGCGGGATAAAGGACGAAGGCTTGTGCGTGCCGTTGTGGCTAGGAGCGGAGAATCGCACCACCAGCAACATTCTCTCTGCTAATCCTTACTCTCTCTCTTATGACCGGACAGCGCAAGAGATCCTCAGGGTTATGTACGGCACCGGCGATGAGCACCGACCGGGCGGGTTTTGGCCGTGTGGTGCCAACGGGAGGATCGCTAGGATGTTTCTTGATGAAGGGTGTTATGGTGATTGCGTTTGTTCACATGACAACTAGATATTTCCATTGATACAAACACTAGAAAATAAAATCGGGTTTAAGCTTGTAATATTAATCTCATTAATTTAATACTGGTGATTAGTCCATGTATTTTATAACCATGTATGTTTAATTATTAAAAAAAAAAACGTGTTTCTATTTATGTAGATTACTTTTGTGGGTCCCGACATAAGCAAATTTCTTGACTTGTTTGGTGTGAGATCAGCTAAATTGAGAAAATAATCAGCTAAATGAATGGGACAGTAGAAAAAATAACAATTTCTTCCACTTTTGCACGATATGAACACGTTGTAATCAATAATTTCTACTGACGATTATGATGTCACACGTATGCATTACGCCGCGAGACGTAAGAATACTCCATAAGAAACAAATCTAAGCCCACAAGTAAAATATTATTTTAGTGAGCCAATTAGTAAACTAATTATATTTGAACAGAAAAGTATTTTTGCAAACAAACTATCGTGTTGTTCGTGTCATATGACTCATGTTTGATTATAGATAATAATAGTGACAAATTATCGTCGTGCATTCCACAAAGGAGGCGGTGTTGGAGTTATACAGGAGATTTAATATCCACCTTATAAGTTATACAGGAACTTCAAAGTTGAAAACTATAAACACAAATAATTCACCAAAAGAAATTATCTCTGAAAGTGTTTTGAAACGTTAGATCACTCCACGTCAACAGGAGCTCAAAAAGTACAAATGATTGAAGTTGTTAATCAAGAAACTACAAAAATAAGGAAGGAAACAAAATGTGTCAATTCAGGCAAAACTGTATTGCATTACATCGCAACGTTTCAGACTTTTCAACTAATATTCTAAAGCTATGCTACAAATGCTAATAAGCAACAACTCTAGAAACAAACGTTAAAAAACAAAGAGTCACGGGTACAACACTAATATTCTGAAAGTTACAGGTAAAACTGTAATTTTCTAAAAATCTCTGGCACACAACACAGGCATAGCTAAAGGCTAAAAGCCCAACAGTCACGGGAACAAAGGGAGTAATTTAACTTATTGAAAATTACAAAAACTCATATACTAGTATATATGTCTGCCTACAAGAAAACCATTTCCCAAAGTGATTATGATGAAATTACATCTACAATAAATCATTAAATACTCCATACACGACTCCACACCATCAATGGGAGATCAAAATAATTAAGGAAACTACAAACAAATAAAATGAAATAAAAACACAAATATGTGTCCTAGACGCAAAATTAAAAGAACCAAACAATATATCCTCACGAGTCACGTCGTCGTCGTACTAAGCTTGGCCGCTTTAAACGGCGGATGAAGCAGCCCAAACTCGTCCTTGGCATCGAGCGGCCTATCCGTCTGGTTGCGCGTGGGTTTCACGCGCCGGCTCCCAAGCGATTTATGCGTGAAACCATACATTTGAAGGATCTGATTGTCTCCGAAATTAAAAGCTCTATCCATCTGCCGCAGACACCGTTCCACCGGATAATCTCCGAATTTCCCGCACGGTTTACACCCGACGAAATGCGTTACCAGTGGCCACCGATGGTCTCCAAAACCCGGTTTATGATTCTCAATCATTTCCTCGTACCGGTCTACCAATATCCCCCAATAACCGTGCAAGTAATAACCACTCTCTAGATAAACTTTGCCTCCCCATTTCTCTCTCTCCGTCGCCAGAAGATAAACCATCGCCGATTGATCGTCAGCTTCGAACGCCGGTCGGTCTTTAAGTTCCCGGGTCAAGACTTTACCCGCTTCTTCTCGGATCTTCCCTTTCGGACCCATAGGAGCCCAAGCGTCAAGAAGATCAAGCGACCACTGTGAGTTCCTAAGCAAGAAACTTCCTGTGTTCAGACCAATCCAATTCTTCTGGTCATAAACCATCTCGTCCCAACCATGCATCACCAAGTTGTAATCTTTATACCTCTCCCATGGAAGCTCGAACACCATGTCGGTAAACATGGCATCACTGTCCATCCACCATAGAAACTCAATCTCAGGATGAGACAAGAGTAACTTCCTAATCAACGGAAGTTTAGCCCAGAATCCAGCCATCTCAGCATCGAGCAACGCCATGTTGTAGAAGATCTCGACTCCGTGAATCCTACAGTAATCGATTTTGTTCTTAATCGATTTCAAGAGGTAATGGTCTCCTACAGGATTCTCACACGGTTTAGGAGCTGAACCTGTGACAAGAAGAACCCTAGGCTTCTTTGGCGCCACGAAATTAGGGAAATTAGGGTTTTGTTTGAGCCAATCTCGTCTCTGCTCATCCCAATCAGAGATCTTGGGACCGAGAGAATAAGGTTTAGTCCGGTCTTGAGATTTCTCTTCATCTCCTTCATCAACGAATAGCTTGTTGATATCGAAGGTCTCGTAGCTGTTACCATTTGCATCTCCGTCTTCAGATGACGTCGTTTTGGAAGAGACCTCGACGAGGACACGGTGAGGCTCGCCGCGTTTACGCGTGTAGAAGAAATGCTCACGGATCTCCTCGATATCTTTCTCCGGCGTACCAAACTTACCGGCTCCGATTGTGCCACGTAAGACGATGACGGTGAGAACAAGGCAGAGAATCGTCACTTTTCCTTGACGCATGAATCTCTGTAATCTCCGAAACCGATGCGCTCCTATACACTTCTCTATCATCTTCTTCTTCTTCTTCACGCAGATCTGGTCTCGATTCGAAATCTAAAGAGAGAAGAAAATGTTATCGCGTGTTTTTTTTGTAATTTGTAATGACGACAAGATTATTACGCGTTTTGGAATTTCTACCTCGTTAATGGAAGGAAGGAAGGATCAACGAAGAGATTAGAAAAGCTTCAAAAAAAAGCATTCAATGAAGATTTAAAATTTGGATTAAAGAAGTAAACAAATATATTATTATTATTATTTAATAAATAAATATTTGAATAATTTGGGAAATGTCTGACAGAACATGCCTGCCTGTCTGGGACGCGTAAAACTTGGTGCGGCGGATCATTAGTAAAAAACTAGTGGTAAAAGTAAAACACTCTTCAGATACTAATTGGGCCTTAATAATCTGAGCCCATTTCTTTGTTTGATAACAATCTAAGCCCATTTAGCCCAATTGAAATGTCGGCCTAAATCACGGATATTTTTGTTTTCGTTAACGGAAAACGTTAAACAGAAAAAGACTGGTTAGGGGAGCTCACACAACTGTCCGGATTAAATTAATTATGTTTCCGTTTTTTTTTGTTGTAAATTTAGAGCGCCAACAAATTATAGACACCAGATATTTTAACCGTTTGGGATTGATTAACGGCTTTTTCTAAGAAAAAAACATACTATAAATTCTCTTTTCATGTTAATTTTGCAATTCAGGATTTAGAAAGATCACTATATCTTTTAAATCAATATTCTGAATTCTCCCTGGTTAAGGAGGAGGGTCTCCATCAATGGCGGCGGCAATGTACGGCGTCAGGAGCTTTTTCTTCTCGGCGGTGATTGTGATATTGTTCGCCAGCCGTTTTGGAGACGCCACCGCAGCTGACAGAGGATACATTAAGTACAAAGATCCAAAAGTAGCGGTGGAAGAAAGAGTAGAAGACTTGTTGATACGGATGACGTTACCGGAGAAACTTGGTCAAATGTGTCAAATTGATCGGTTCAACTTTTCAATAACTCGTCCGACAGATATCTTCACAAAGTATATGATCGGTATGTCTGGTACAACATCTTGTTATATATCGAATTTTCGAATAGTTTTTTGATAAAAACAGCTTATAATTGAATTGGTGTACGAGTACAGGAAGTGTTTTGAGCAATCCGTTTGATACCGGGAAAAATATATCAGAGCGGATATTGGATATTAACGTGATGAAGAAATTGAGTCTTTCGACGAGGCTCGGAATTCCTCTGCTTTACGCTCTTGACGCGGTTCATGGCCACAGTACTTTTATTGATGCAACCATTTTCCCCCACAACGTCGGACTTGGTGCCACTAGGTATATATTTATATGAATCATATATATAATGTGAAATGTTGTATAATTGAATTTTTTATAATTCAAGGTACGTATTTGACGGTTGTGAATCTGTGTTGTTGTAGGGATCCTCAACTTGTTAAAAAGATTGGAGCTATAACCGCGCAGGAAGTAAGGGCAACAGGAGTCGCTCAAGTTTTTGCACCTTGTGTTGCGGTAAATAATTAAGTGGACAACTTACAACAGAAATATAGATATATAGTAAACCTTTCTCTTTCGTATTGAAAAAATTGGATGAACAGGTTTGCAGAGATCCTAGATGGGGAAGGTGTTACGAGAGCTATAGTGAAGACCCTGCAGTTGTGAATATGATGACCGAAAGTATCATCGATGGATTACAAGGAAATGCTCCTTACCTCGCCGATCCCAAGTAACCACCAAGAACTTATACTTAGTTTCGAATCTAAATTTGTATTAATCTTGATCACTAGTTAACTAACTAATGTGTATCTACGAGGTTAGGATTAATGTGGCTGGTTGCGCCAAACATTTTGTTGGGGACGGAGGGACAATAAATGGAATCAATGAGAACAACACTGTGGCTGATAACGCTACTCTTTTTGGTATCCATATGCCTCCGTTTGAGATAGCAGTGAAGAAAGGGATCGCATCAATCATGGCTTCTTACTCTAGTCTTAACGGTGTTAAAATGCATGCAAACCGTGCAATGATCACTGATTACCTCAAGAACACTCTCAAATTCCAAGGCTTTGTTATCTCTGATTGGTTTGGAATTGATAGGATCACACCGATACCAAAATCAAACTACACTTACTCCATTGAAGCTTCTATTAATGCCGGCATTGACATGGTTGCTCTTTTACTTCTTTTTTTTCTTACTTTCAATCAAGAAACTGATTCTTGATATGTTAAAGATTCTGGATCGAGAGAATTTTATATGTATAATCTTGTGGCGTAGGTTATGGTTCCATGGGAGTATAAAGAGTACTTGGCGGAATTGACAAAACTAGTGAACGGAGGATACATCCCTATGAGCCGCATCGACGATGCTGTTCGAAGGATCTTGAGAGTCAAATTCTCTATCGGTCTCTTTGAGAACTCATTGGCAGATGAAAAACTTGCCACTCCTGAGTTTGGATCTGAGGTAAATTCAAAAGGACACAAGGTTTTGAATTATATACATAATTTAAAAACTTTATTAAATAAACTTCTTAAAGAGTTAAAAAGGAAAAATCTATATAACATAGACAATGTGTGAAATAATACAATCAAATTAGTCGCCGTTTCATTATGCCTATAAAAGAACTTAAATTACAACAAAAAAAACTAGCATGAAGATACTTTTTGTACCTAACTATGCTTTAATACAATGTTGTAGGCTCATCGAGAAGTAGGGAGAGAGGCGGTGAGGAAATCAATGGTGCTTCTAAAGAACGGGAAGACAGACGCGGATAAAATTGTGCCGCTCCCGAAGAAGGTGAAAAAGATCGTTGTCGCGGGGCGACACGCTAACAACATGGGATGGCAATGCGGTGGCTTTACTCTCACGTGGCAAGGATTCAACGGAACCGGAGAAGATATCCCCGCTAACAAAAAATTCGGATTCCCTACCGGTAAAACAAGAGGTAATATAAAATGTCAGAGAATATTAATCCGTCACAGATGCATGCATTATAATATCTAGGGTGTCTCGGATCTTTCCAATTATATATATTCAAGGTTTAATAGTCTATATTGACATATTCTAAAATGTTATTTCAAAACATATATAGGAACAACAATATTGGAAGCCATCCAGAAAGCAGTAGATCCCACTACTGAGGTTGTCTACGTGGAAGAACCAAACCAAGATACAGCGAAGCTTCACGCCGACGCAGCATACACAATTGTGGTCGTCGGAGAAACCCCGTACGCAGAGACACGTGGGGACAGTCCTACTCTAGGTATCGCCGACCCAGGTCCAGATACGCTCAGATTGACGTGCGGTAATGGGATGAAGTGTCTAGTGATCCTAGTCACTGGACGTCCGCTCGTGATGGAGCCTTACCTTGATATGATCGATGCTCTTGCAGTCGCATGGCTTCCTGGAACCGAAGGACAAGGAGTCGCTGATGTCTTGTTTGGTGATCATCCCTTCACCGGCACGTTGCCTCGCACGTGGATGAAGCATGTTGTTCAGCTTCCAATGAACGTTGGCGACGAGTACTACGACCCTCTCTACCCCTTCGGATACGGAATCAAAACCTAAATCAATAACGATAACCATGTAATTATGTGAACAATATAACTGTAACACTTTCCCAATCAATATTTAATTATAATTTCTATTACATATATTCAATCCTTTGTCAGCAATTCCATATCAAAATTGAAAGAAACCTACAACAATATACATATGTGAACTATGGCCATGAACCGTAACATAAAACTTGTTCACGATTTGATGCCCGATCATGCCTATTTCATTATGGGCTTGAGCCCACTCCTTTGCTTTTGTTTGCTTCTGAGATGTGAAAACAAAAAGATTCTCATTTTGAGGGGAAAAAAAAACACGTCTTTAAGGTTTTTGTGAAAATGGAGAGAAGGACAAGAGATGGATACCACGTGACGGCGAAACAGGTCCTACCTAGCACCATGCAATGTCGGATGCTGAGATGCGTGCTAACTATTTGATAAATGATTAATTAAATGGTACTGTATAAGTTTTGTTTAGATAAAAATTTGCCATTACAACGAAACTAATCAGTTACACAACATACATATCTCATATATACTGCTCTCAGGCCTGTTTTCATTCATATACGCGAGGGAAAATGATATACAAAACGAGACAGAACAGAACGTCCGCTTATCATATAATGTGATCAACGACGATGATGATGATTAATATCATGAGTTAACTTTATCTATGTTGAAAAATGCTTTATCTGTATAATTGAAAATTCTCAACTGTAGTAAAGCAAACGAGAGCAATAATAACCCAACAACATATGTAGTTTTATCAGTGTACTAGATGTTTCAAAAAGAATTTGCATTTCAAAATCACTAGCTAGGCCATAGGTGATAGGTCCAAAAAAACTTGTAGGTTATAGACAAAAAACGGGAGCAATAATGCATCATAACCTTTGGTTCCAGGAAATTAAACACGTGAGGAAATTATATTGTAATTCTCTACAATTTTCACTTGGTTCGAGGTTTGTTGTTGAGATAATAATTAATCAATTTCTTTGTACAAATAGACCAACGAGCATCTCTCTACTCCAATGACAGAATCTCTATACTATTAAAAGAGAAATACAAATGAAAATGGGTCGGATTAAAATTGGAAAATTGACTCAATTTCTGAAATCGGATCTTTGAAAATTTTTTGGAATATAAATTCGAATTAATAATGAAAAATTGAAATAAAATCAAATATTTATGGAAATCAAATAAAATCTGATTGTACTTATGGTAACTAATAATAAAAGCATATTCCGAACAATATTATACATTAATTAAGTATAATAAATTTGTTCATATATTTTTGGGACTAATTCCATAACAATCAACGTTTTTGTCATTAATTTCGTTCATTTTAGCCAATTATCATTAATTGAAAGATATTTTATTTGCTTCTAAAGATTTCTAGAAAATTTATCACAAATAACCCATCTATTTTATAAACTAAATTGATATTTTTATTTTGGTCGTGTAAATTAAATAGATATTTTTATTTTGGTCGTGTAAATTAAATAGATATGAAATCCATGTAACTAATTTTAATTTAATTAGATTAAATCAAAATTATGATATTTTCATACCTATAGCTTACCAAAGAAGTTTAATTTTCAATTTATAAAGATTTCTTGAATATAATTTTAGAATTATTCAACAAGATGATAAGTATTTATTAAATTTTGTGAATCATGAAAAATAATAATTAATTTTTAATCATTATACTTCATCTTTCAATCATTACTATGTCCAAACTTCATTT